CACCACCCTCCACCACTGTCGCACCACCATGCCGCCGCAGTATCATCCACCCAAGGCCGTGTATCAGCACTGCTACAGCTCACGCAATGCACCGTCGCAGCTCGTCTGCTAATGCACGCTGTGCTGCAATAACGGCGCGAGGCAGCAGGCGCGATCAGATAACACAGAGCAGCGCCGGCGGATGATGAGAACGTGCGGCGATGCAGCGGGACCCGCACTGAGAGACCATTGTTGCCAGCGATATCTATGCAGGCAGTGCCACCGTTAGAACTGACCATCCCACATCCCAGTCATGATCATCTGAGGTCATTTTCATACAGAGACTTTGCTCCAACTGACGACGTTTTCACTTTCGGTTGGAAAAGTACCGACCATAATAGAGGACGAGCGAAATAAAACCGCCGGATGACGCGATGTTTATATAACCATCAATATACATATACATATATATATATATATATATATATATATATATATATATATATATATATATATATATATATATATATATATATATATATATATATATATATATATACAGCCCATGATGACGAATTACACACGACATGTCATAACAGTACAGAAACGGGCGGCGATATCACATCACATTGTCGAGTGATGACACCGTCATTATCAGCGGCCACCTTCACAAAATAAAAATATAAGTAATGGCGTTTTACAACATGAAAGTAGCAGCTGCTCCATGCTATCGGACCAGCCTGGACGCCGCGCTGGACGGCGCTGGTGCGGCTCCGCCGGTCCGACAGGCGGCGGACCCCTGGCGCTGGGCGGGGCCGGCCGCCGCTCCGTATCGACCCCAGCCTCCCCGCCCCCTAACCCCCGCCCCCGGTGGGTCCGGCCCGAGCAGCCGGCCCACCAGTGCGGCACACGAGCCCCGCCGCCTTTCACCTCACTGGTGACGGCGGCTGGTGCCGCGTGCTCGCTGTGCCGGGAGGGACGCGCCGGTGTGATGACGGAGTTCTGCTGTCGACGTGCTGGGCACACGGCGGTGCACGCGTGCCCAGTCTGCTAAGAGGGAGTCGCACACTGGTGCTGCAGGACGAGGGAGGATATACGGCTGGCGAGGCTACGTCACCCAGTGGAGGATATGTGCTGACGTCAGTCACTACGCAAGGCCAGTTCCGACTGATGCCTGATGAAGTGTCCACGAGTCACCACAGGCCGCCATTCTATCCACACGGAGGGGGCCATAGGAAAACATGCGCGAGGTCGCCTGGGATTACTGCCACAAACGCAGATAGGGCACTCAATGTCGCCGTCCCCACCAGGGACGGGCCACCGCAGGGCATCGTCTCGGCCAACAGGTCACGATCCCATGGAGGTCACGGGTCAAGAGGTCACCACCCAAAGCACCGACCAGTCTTGGGCTCCAGACATGGCCGGGGTCAACCGGGGTCAGCGCCAGTCCGGCCGAGTCCAGAGGCGCCGCGTGACTCAGCGGCACCTCTCCCCCTTCCCCAGGCGCGCCAAAGGTGACCGTGTCCCGCCACGTGACAGGGAAGCCGGCGGAGCAGCGCCGCCCCCGCGGCCGCCTAACACGGAGCGGCTGTCAGCCACGCCCTCAGCCCGGGACGTCATCAGCCCGGACCCTGCCGCGGGAGCGCCCTCAACCCTTGACGTCATCAGCCCGGACCCTACCGTGGGAGCGCCCTCAGCCCGGGACGTCATCAGCCCGGACCCTGCCGCGGGAGCGCCCTCAACCTTTGACGTCATCAGCCCGGACCCTACCGCGGGAGCGCCCTCAGCCCGGGACGTCATCAGCCCGGGCCCTGCCGCGGTTTAGAGGGGCCTGCAATGGCCGTGAAGAGGGCGCCCTCAGCCCGCGGCATCATCAGCCCAGGCCCTGCCGCGGTTCAGAGGAGCCTGCAATGGCCGTGAAGAGGGCGCCCTCAGCCCGCGGCATCATCAGCCCGGACCCTGCCGCGGTTCAGAGGGGCCGGCGGTAGCCGTGAAGGCCTGGCGGCGCTCGCCGTAGACCAGACCAGCGCGGAAGCGAGACATCGACCCCATCTACCGCCGGATGCGACGGTCTGTGCCTCCGCGCGTCTGCATGTGACGCGAAATCCCCAACCAATGCAAATATCCAACCATGTAATCCCCAACCAATGCAAAACGGTCAAGCGCGAGCTCTCACCCACGCCCGGTCGGGACCGATTTAGGCCTGGCATCGCGGACTCGCGCCGGTCGATTCTCGCTCCGTGCATATTTTATCGGTCCCAAAGCCACAGCCAAGGTGGGTTGTGCCACTGAGGGTCTAGGCTGGTCCATGCGTCTATGGACACACCGATAAACAACGCTTGACGATGGTGCTCGGCGGAATTCCGCGCGTACTTCATGTAGTGACGTCATAGCCGCACGCGCTGTATGCGAGGTACTCATCTCCATGATTGAATCAGCTCGTCCCTAAAACAAATTCCTCAACGCATCACCATGGTGGTGCGGGGTAGCAAGCGCGCGTTACGTACCCTGCTCTTAAGCATGTAGTTCATACCTGGCGCAATCTCGCAACCGATGCGCTGATTACACAAGTGCGCTGGGTGCGGCTTTAGCAAATGTCACAGCGGTTTGACCTGAGCAGATTATTTCTGTATGGCACGTATCTGCCAATATTCATTACTCGGCGCAAGGGTGGGGCTCTCCAACTCTCCGCCAACTCCACGAGCACGGTGCCAAGGTTTGTCTCGTCCATCTGAGTATTTTATTTTCACCACTAAAACATCGCAAAAACGCTAAAAATAGCCGCATCTGCAAGCTATCGGGAGATAGCTGGTATCATGACGCTTACCTTTCAGTAAAGTTCCGCTTACGTCACAGCCCATTTTAGATCCCGGCTGAACTGCATTACACATGCAAGGAACAACGGCACACTACCATCTGAAGAACACCCGTCATCCTGGTTGACGATGCCAACGCCTCTTGCATGCACAATAAGTCTTCATCTTCGCCTGAAAGAGGGCTTGTCACGCCCGACAAAGCACCAGCTCACCAAAAACGGACCAGGCTTTTTCAGTGCGCCTTATCCGTCAGGCGGTCTCATTTAACCCCGACATCAACCGCTCGCCCGTCTTTCATAAGACTCAACGAGCCCAAAGGCCAAAACCGGGTCAGTCCGTCTCTTTGTCAATATCAGCGCGGCCCGACGCCGAATTGGGAAATCCCAGCCAATCTCCCGGGCGGAGGTGCCCCCGCTGACAGTCGCGTGCGCGGCGCCATCTTTACCGGAGCGTAAATTGAACAGCTCGCAGACAAATGGACGGAATCTGCCGTTAAATCCGCCGGCCGCCAGAGTTCGCGGTGGAGCTGGATCGACACTCCTTGAGAGCGTGCGCGGCGCCGCTCTGAACTGCAATCAACGCCCGCCAGGCTGGACATCCACGCCGGGGCCAAACCTGTCCGGGTGAGGACTGCCGCCGCTGCCCCGGCTGGCTTGTCAACGTCAACGCGATTGATGAAGATGGCGGCGCTCGTCTGAGCGCGTCCTCCAACAGCGCAAGAACGATTTAAAGAGGCGTAGGGACAGAGAGCAACAGCCACAGCCATTCCAGTGGTTCATAAATGTGCGAACCATTCGTCAGAGCCCAATGACCAGCGGTAACGCGCGGCTGTAATTAGGCACCATTCGAAAAAGCCAACTGAGGAGGGAGTACCTCCAGATCACCCGCTGGAGCCGTCAACAGCGGGCGGGCACGGCACAGCTCGACAAGTGGGCGGACAGCAGACAGCACCGCCCGTCCGACCGTATCGGACTGCTCCGAGGTGCTGGTGGGCGAGACTTATGGCCCGACCAAAGCTGTCAGCAGCCAACATTGGGGAGACAGTCGCTGCAGGCCCGCCCGCACCCCTCCACCGGCGCTAATCCCTGCTAAACTCCGCTCAAACAGCCGACCGGCTGGCTTCGGAACACAGCGGGCGGCGGCGGCAAACTTCTGCAGACGTCGGACGGCTCGGCGATAGTTTGCACAGGCTTGCCAGGCCCATTCAACCGCCACTGATTTGATGCAGCGACCCGAATTCTGCACGTGATCCCCCGCCGTCGACCCAGACCGCTCGGGCGATCCCCTCCCCGCCCACGCTGGCGCAGCGCGGTGCTATGCCGTCACCCTGCTGCCCGTCTGGACACTCCACGCCACCGGCGAACCAAGCGTCTGAACAACGGTTCAGGCGAGCCCGCTCGCGAGTTCGCCAGAATGCGTCTCAGGTGCAAGCTATTTGACGGGGGCGAACAAAAACCCTCCTGCTTGCCACTCTCCACTCTCTACACTCCACACTCCCCACTCTCGTCTCCGGCCGGTCATTCGAAGCCAGCCGCTCCTCGGTAGGTTAGGTAGACGCACACCGTAATGCAGTGTTTGGAACTGCCTGCACCCAATGACGTAAGCGTATCCAACCAACACACGTCCCCGGACGTCCGATCGGTTTTCCCGCATCAAACTCAGCTCCAATCGATTGGCGGAAAGTTCTAACAAGGCTGGAGGTCCGTTGAAGTGGAGTCAATGAACTCAACGCAGGGCGAGCGGATGGATGAAGAAACACATCAGTTACAACGACGTCCAAGTCATTAATTAGCTGAACTTTTTCCGGGCGGTTTTTATCACAGAACGAGCCTATTCATTCCAAGAGACTTGCAGGACCCATTTCTGTCATGGTGGCATTGGCTTGTGCAGATAGATGACGTGGTATGAGCAAGATGTTGGTAGCATCAACAGCCGACGTACAAAAAAAAAAAACTGGAGTCGTCGACCCTTTCAATGGCGTCCATGTATTCACGAGGAGGTTATGGAAGTCAAAATGTGACTAGAGTTTTCAACCTGTAACGTCATAGCATCCGCCACTGACGTCAGAGCAATGACCAGTGTCATTCCCGCGTCAACAAGTGACACTTAAAAGCCCCTCGGCAGCAGAAGAACCAGTCGACCACATGATATTACTGCCAGTGACGTCACAGGACCGGCTACCGTCAGGCAGCACACGGTACTCACCCATTGGTCTTGAGCTCGGACCTGCTGACACAGACGGCCGTGAAGGAGTCCTCCAGCAGGCACATCTCGCTGCTGCGGCACTCCAGCGCCGAGCAGAGCCCGTCTGGAAAACGTCACGAACATGTCACGAACACGTCACGATCATGTCACGAACATGTCACGAACACGTTACGAACACTTCACGAAAATGTCACGAACATGCCACGAGCATGTCACGAACATGCCACGAACATGTCATGAACATGCCACGAGCATGTCACGAACATGTCATGAACACGTCACGAGAGCATCACGAGCACGTCACGAACACGTCATATCTCGCTCATGCGACACTCGGACGCCGGGCAAAGGACGTCTAGAAAAAATCACAGACACACCTCGCTTCTGCGATACTTGAACATCGAATAACGTCCGTCTAAAAAATATCGCAGACATATTTAATGTACGTGACACTTGAACACCGAGCGACGTTTGTCTAAAAAAAGGCAGACATCTCACCGGCCGGACCTCTGAGCACCGAGCGGGCCCGTGTGGTGCATATCACATGTACGTCTCACTGACGGACCTTTGGAGAACCGAACACAGCCCATGTGGAACACATCACAAACACATCTCACTGGCAGAGCACTCGGGCGATGAGCAGAGGCAGTCTGGCACGCACCACATGCCACGGGCTGTTCCCTGGCTCCTGACGGAGTGTGCAAAATGGATGAGGAAAAGTGCCAAAAATGTGTCGGGTAAGAAGCCTGTCATCCAAACGCCAAGCAGTCTAAGCCCCAGCGTGTTACTGTTCAGGACAAGCATTTTCAGGTTTCGGCGAATTAAACACGCTCAAGTGCTTGGAAATGGAAATTTGGACGCACTGGGGACTTGAATTTTCCCAGCCTTCTGACTTCACCCAGCAAGATATATTTCTTTGAGCAACATCCAGAGCAACATCCAATGATAGAGATAACACCATTTCATGAAAAATGGCGCATCGGAATCGTTACGTATGGACAGCGGAAACGGGTTCACCGGAAAACGCTTTCTGTACCATTATTCTAGCTGAGCGAGACTTCGGTCGGTCGGTCATACTGAAATGTTGATATCACGTTTTTACAATGTTCCGTTCGCCTATTTTACAGGCTCATGTCGGGACAAATGCACGGCGTCAGTAACACCTTGTGCCACCTTGCTACCTGTGCAGCCGACTGGGAACATAGCAGACAGCGACAGCCAAGCAGGCAAGAACACTCCAGCTCCAGACAGCAACAGCCAAGCGGCTCGTGTAGTTCTGGACAACCAAGAATCAATTTCAACCTTGTTTTCTTCTATTCAATGGCATGGGGCTTACGTTTTGTTTCAAAGATGAGGGTGACTGCCCTTGCCCATCCAAACGTCGTGCCTGATGCAAGGTAAAGGAGGAGTGCCACTGCTGAAGGGCAGACCGGAAACTCTACTGTTCCTGAGCCGCGCACATATCGAAAGAATCTTACGGGTAGGGATGGTGATGACATTCATTTGTGAGAGCCCTGGCCCTGCATTCATGAATTGAGCCCCCTGTTCGTTTGGCCCGTCCAACAGTTTTATTTGCTCCAACATAAAAAACTGTGGAAAATCACAGAAAGCCGGCCTTCCTTGGGCGTTCTTTGGTGGTATTGGCAATGACTGCTATTATGCTGCTCAAATAAAGGACCTTTTCAATGACGAAGATGGAAATATCAAAATACCAGCCGTCAAAACAAAGGAGACGAATTGATAGAAAACACATATGAGGGAAGTTAAGTTGCCGGCCATCGGCTCACCAACTCTCCTCCCCCCCCCCTCCCCCTCCCCAATAATTTACACAAATCCACACTTCTTTGCCTAAGGAGATTCGGCCCGAGGCAAATTATTCTGGACAAAATATGATACACTATTTATGGTATTTTACCATGTATCCTACATTATATCAATCCATTATAATGAAAAATATGCCCATCCAACTTTAAAAATTGCCTTTGAATTTCGTTGGATTTCTTTGGAAATCTCCGCTACATATCTATGACATCTTTCTTTGGCTAGCTGCTCAGTGCTAACTAAACAGGGCAGTGTCCAAGTCATTTGGACAGTGTGTTTGACAATGGTTCTGTGACAGTTCAATGGGAGTGAGGTGCAGTCCAGTGCGCTAAAATAATGATTTTATTGTTAATTTTACGAGAGCTGTGGCTCCGAACTTGAAGTTGTTTATACATGTCGCTATTTTCCCCTCCTTGCAAGTTGATTGAACGCGATAAACCAAAAAAGCTATAACACTTCTACCTTAAGACGTAGGAAAAGCTTCAAAAAGTGGGAGGAGGAAAGACTCAGAGTATACTTTTGCTAGGAAGAAGCAGGCTTAGTGACCCGGGGGGAGGGGGGGGGGGGTAGAGATGAAGGACATTGTCCGCTGTTAATTCACATATAACACATTTTGAAAATAATTTAATGTCATAGTTGCTATGTTAGAAACCCATCTACAGCTCTTTTCCACTGGGGCACAGGCTTGCTTGTTCGATTCATCTATACCCTTTGGCAGGTAAGACTATCCAGCCTCCTAAAATTATCCCTTCATTTCAACAACAACAACAAGACGAAACTGCACCAGCGGGTCGGCATTCTGGATCTTTGAAAAAGCGTCTGCCACCTTAGGGATCGATGCTCAAACACTTGTGCACAGGCTGGTCAGAATTCCGAATGCCAATAAATAGCCACTATTGAGCCTGAGTTTTCATGCGCCTAGATTTCGCCGGCTGCTTTTCAAGAGATAAGATTTGTCGCAGCATCTTAGGCGGACAGAAATTTGGAAGCTTCACGTACTAATTGCCAAAAGCAATGTGACGAAAACCATCAAACCGGAGACTCTTCTGTAAAACCCAAGTCACAGAATGAAGACTCTTCTTTCAAACATCCCGTATCTGAGCCCGCTCCTGTCTGTAGTCGGCGGTCACTGCCCTAAACCGGCGGTCTCCCGCATAAGTGACTACGTACCGATCATATTGCTGCTTTTCTGTGTGTCTATGGATCAGCATCACTACTTATTGGTGTGTAAAGCGCATATCAGACACCTGCTACAGTAGTAAATTTCGAATAATCTTCCCTTACACCACACCGGAGCAGAAACTAAGCTTTCGGCAAGCAACCTGTCTCAGGCATGAATTGGCCTGACAGGCACTCATTTGCCCCTCATTCAACGTCGACAAAAGCCCCGCTGATGGCAAAAAAACAACAACAACAAACACTGGATACAGCTCACAGGTAAACGAACCTCGCCGAGAAGGGGGTGCAGAGTTAACAAGGGCCCCTGATAATCAAAAGCCTAACCCCTCCCCCCCAAAAAAATCGCTCCATTTACGTCACTTGTTAATGAGGGGCACTGTTCCTCGTTTTAATGTTAATGTTACTCTTTAACCAGAACAAAAACATTTGTTCGCGTTTTAAAATCGATAAGCGACAGAAGTCATGCATTATGCGGCTGCATGGAAAAATCACTGGCGTTTTTCACTTTACAGCTCCACAGGTTCAGCAAGAGTTCAGTGGACTCTTCCTAACCCGGTGGATCTCAGAAGCCTTACCAGATGTTTCCGCGTTCTTCAAAAATATTGAGGACCCTTGAACGTAGCCTGTAGATCGGGATGGGGCCCAAAATGGAATTGACATGGCTAACCCATGCTCATCTTGAAATGTTCAGTCAGAAAAAATTCAATCAGAATCGATTGCTGCGAAAAATTATGCAGCTTGTTTTGAGCATGCGCGCTCACAGACTTTGCAACAACATTCACGCCCGGCGTTGCAGCCCCGTAGGCCGCGGGGTGGCGGCCCTGCGGCTGACACTAAGCGGTGGACAACGGCCAGACGGAAAAGATAATGCATCTGAGAAAAGTACTTTTGAGCACCTTAGGACATTAATTAGCACATCTGAGAAGAAGTCCGGACGTACATTTCGCCTGTAAGATTTTTAGATTGATAATGAGGACGGCCTTTACAGCACCGCACCTCTGACAGAGGCCTCGGCCTGTATCAGAGGCCTTAACAACACCCCAATGCTGTAAAGGCCTCGGCCTATATCCGAGGCCTTTACAACACCCCAATGAGGTGCTGCAATCCGGTGGTGGAACTGGAAGATTAAAGATAGAATCTCTATTTTCGTGTTGCTAAAACTGCTCCGGAGGTGATACTGCGATACGATCCGGAGGCCCTTGCTGAGGACTCTGTAAGCAGCGAGCAGAAGAACCAAAGCTATATAAAGACAAAACGGAGCGCTTGGTATTAGAGGAACCTCGAGTTTGTCTCGAAATATAAATGTATAGGAACAATATAATATTTAGGGATAAATATAAACATATGCGTTCGTCGTGCAGGATAGGATAAGATGCGGTCATTTACCACATAAAGCGCTTGCGTCCAGCGCAGTTTGAGGAAGATGACTGGTGAGCTAGGTAAATCGGCATGCATTTTTACGGTGATACAAAAGCATCACCTTAAACACAAGTAGCGCGACTTAAATCTGAAAAGTAGTGGGAGGGGCGGCTAACATCGTTGGCCCCCACTTTAAAAAGAGGGGTAACGATGCCCTCCCCCGGTCCCTACACCCCTCCTTCTACCGCGAATCAAACGCAGACAGTCTACAAGCGGTTACCACGGTTAAAAAGACGCCACGCGGTTCCACGCGCCGATCTGTAATGCTTGATGCCGTAAGAATATTCGTGCCATTCTTTAGAAGCCATCTGTACGCTGGTGACTGCCCGGATCCAGTGGCACGTGCCAAAAAGAGCCGAAAATGCAGGTCACATTCAGAGAGAGATGCGCAGATGCCGCACCAGCAACGACGCAACGACGGCAACGGCAACGACGCAGCGCAGCGCCACTGCATCAGAGAGGGCAGACAAGGACTGGGACGAACACATGCAGAAGGTTGCCACAGCTACCAGAATTCCACAGATAAGCATGAGATTGACGGCAAGCTAAGCACAATCCTGCACAAAGAGGAACACACGTGGGTGGAGCGTTCCGGTCAGGCGGCTAAGGAACGCAGGCCTCCAGGTGCAGGCACGGCAGGCGATACTTACTTTCGGGGTCCCAGATCCACGTTTTCACAGCAGGCTTTTCTTTCTTCTGTTTCTGAAATCAGCAGGAGCGCCGGTCAGAGGGGGCACCTTGCTCAGAGGCGGCGCTCTGCTCAGAGGTGGCGTCCTGCTTAGAGGTGGTGCCCTGCTCAGAGGTGGCACCTTGCTCAGAGGCGGCGTCCTGCTCAGAAGTGACGCCCCGCTCAGAGGTGGCACCCTGCTCAGAGGCGGTGCCCTGCTCAGAGGTGACACCCTACTCAGAGGTGACGTCCCGCTCAGGGGTGACGCCCTGCTCGGAGGCGGTGCCCTGCTCAAAGGTGGCGTCCGCCGGCCAGACCGCGCCCATATCGAGGGCGTCACGCAGTCGCGGCCCGCACCGCCCGGGCGTGGGAACATCAGAACGCGCGCCCGAGAACAAACACAGACAACGGCCGGCCGCGGACCCGGTGTAGCGCCACTCAGATGCACTTTTATCGAGGACGTTGTGACGGCCTACACACGGTCAACCATGACTGATGGGACGACATGGTTTGCACATGCTATGTGAGCGACATAGTCTGCGACGGCTCTTAATGGCGCTACCACACGCATCTTCAATGAGTCTCAGACCAGCACTTGTCAATTTCCGCATGGAGTGTGTTAAATGAATGTGGAAAATATAACTTTACCAAATACACGACGCATATTGATTCATAGAATACATATGATCAGGGAGGTGGGGGAGAGGGGGAAGCGCCGCTGGGCCACTATGCGCACACGTCGCTGAGCGGAACCTATCCCGACCCCCGCCCACAGCGCGTGGACTTATTCCGACTAAGACTCAAAACAGCGCGGCAAAGCTGATCGGGCTCCGGTGTCGGCTCAAATACAGAGGCTCAGCGCCGGAGTCCGTTACAGTGGCGCTCATCCTGGTATCAACACTCATAAGATACAGCCCCTATGGGCACATAGTAGGCCGGCATGAATGGAGCCAATACTTTCCTCGAGGAGCCAAACGTCAAATATCGCCCGAAAGCCTGCTAGTTTGGACCAAGTTCCGGCGAAATCGTCGAGTATGTGGTGTAAAAACTAAGGTCAGGCAAGGTGGAAGGAGAGACCCGTTAGCTACATCCCTGTAATTCGGCGTGCATGTAAACCGGACCGCGATGCGCTGAATGCCACGTGATGCTCATGAACAACGTTGGGGTCATATAAGCTCAATTTCTGAACTCGAGCCGTCTCAGCGATGGGTCTGGCAAAAACGACATGCTCAGCAACGACTCCCTCCATCATCATCATCATCATCGGAACCAATTTCATCTCAATCACAACTCGGCTGATTCCAGAGTTGATCATGATTCCCTCAAGGTCATGGGAGTCAGCCAACACATCACCATTAGTATCGCCGTTTTTAAGTCCTAATGAGCACAGAACGCCTCCTTACCCAGTCATCTTCCTCAAACAAGAAATCTCCATCGTAGCTTTTCTTCTGTTTATTTGCGAGCGCTACGGAACACAAAGCCACGGCGAGTGCTACCGCGAGCAGCCGCATGGTTTGGACGGCAGTGTCGTAAGGGAACACCACAACAAGGCTGCTGCACACCGGTGCCGCTAATACATCACCTCTCACCACAGCACCGATCGACACGCCCTGCCGCCACCCCTACACCGCACTGGCACGAAGTAATCTCTGAGCCTCGCGATATCACCACCACGCCGATCGAGGCTCCACCGCACAGGCGCGGTGTTTTGTTTAGTAGGCGCAGCCAGCGCCGCACCCTCTTCGCGCTCATTAGGCTCCGCCCAGCGGCGGCGTCCACCAATGGGGTCAGGGAGCTGAGCGTAAGAAAATTTGGGAGGCACTGGAATATTTGTGAAAATGATACGTATATTTAGCCGGAGTTTTCAAAACTTTCTTGACTGTCTTCTGTACAAATAAGACTTTGTTTGACATTTTAGGGCCTCTGGAAATGTGTGAATTTAGCTACTGCATTTCATGAAACATGCTGGACATTAAGCTTTTGTCAGTAATGCTGTGTTAAATTATAATTGTAATGCAATGTTTGGAATCCAATTTCAAGGTCAATGCATGCCTACTGGATGTGCTAGCCGAAGTTCACAAACATATTGAGATGTTGTTTTGGGAGTGATGCCGTTCGCTCTACGTGACGACGAAGGTGGCGCACAACGGGAGTAGCCCAGACGAGAAACAGCGCAGCAAATTGTACAGCCGCGGGCGTAACAGGGGACGTGGCGTCCATGGCTGTTGACCTGTGCGTGGACGTTGTGGGATGACGAATTGACGAGTTGAGTCGTGTGACGTGGAGATATTGGGTGGATAGGTACGCGATGTTGAGAAAGCATAAGGGTTGATGGTGTGCATGTGAGCGGGCCTGGGCCGGTTTGTGCCTCGTGTACCTGTGCAATGGTCGGCTTTTTCGGGCGGCGGGTTGTCACGGTCGTTGTACCGCTACCCTGGACTTAGTGACTGTTTGTGGACATGTTTTTTCATCCAGGAAGAGGTACAAGCGAATGACTGGTCAAGCTGGACATATGCCACCTACTTTGTAAGAACACATTAGGCATTCATGGTCATCTTTAAGAGAGGGGATGCCATAATTGGCCATGAAACAAACATTTTATGTATCAGTTACAGTCTTGGCTTTAATGTGTAATAATTGAGATTAAGACTGCACTGATGTACTTGGTGTTTTGTAAGTGTGCAGTACAAATGTTCACAATGACTGAGTGGACCATGGGGCTGCAAAAATATGTGATTACTGTCTGGCATGTGACATGGAAACATTCAGATATGCCACACAAACACATGCACAAGGGGGCGACTGGGCATATCAATGGAGACTAGGGGTGTAGGTGCACTTTCCTACCTAAGTTAGAAAAAATCATTGCACACCATTCGTCGTGTTTAAGGCAGCACAAATAGTAAATAATCTCAAAACAGGTAGAATCATGCTCCTACCTTCGAATTTCATTAACTTCGATGGCGGGCTCCCGAGCGCCGCGCACACCGCACCGCCTGGACTCCCCAGCGCCGTTTATGGGTTGCTGTTGCGTAAATACAATATTTCTGCTTACCAAGACCTGTACAAAATGTATGGGACCAAGGTAAACCATTTGTCGTGTTTAAGGCGGAGCATATCGTAAATAATTTCAAAACAGATAGAATCATGCTCCTACAGAATCATGCTCCTACCCTTGAATTTTAATAAATACGATAGCGAGTTCCCGAGCGCCGCACGCACTGCACCGCACGCACTGCACCACACCGCCTCGACTCCCAAGCCCAGAACATATCCTAAACTAGCCTAACCTAACCAAACCTAACCTAACCTAACCTAGCCTAACCTAACCTAGCCTAGCCTAACCTAACCTAAACTAACCTAACCTAACCTAACCTAACCTAACCTAACCTAGCCTAACCTAACCTGACCTAACCTAACCTACCCTAACTGAGAATAGACCAGAGCCTAAGCTAAGCTAAGCTAAGCCAGCCTGACCTGACCTAACCTAACCTAACCTAACCTAACCTAACCTGAGAAAAGACCAGAACCTAAGCTTAGCTAAGCTAACCTACCCTAACCTAACCTAACCTAACCTAATTAACCTAACCTAACCTAACTCAACCTAACCTAACCTCCCCACCCTATATCCCCTTCAACCCAGCATCCCATAGCTAAGCTAAGCTAAGCTAGCCTGACCTGACCTGACCTGACCTGACCTGACCTGACCTGACCTGACCTGACCTAACCTTACCTAACCTAACCTAACCTAACCTAACCTAACCTAACCTGAGCTTAGATATAAGCTCATAGGCCTTATGAGCTTAGATATAAGCTAATAGACCAGAACCTAAGCTTAGCTAAGCTAACCTACCCTAACCTAGCTAACCTATCCTAACCTAACCTAATGTAACCTAACCTAACCTAACCTAACCTCCCCACCCTATATCCCCTTCAACCCAGCATCCCATTGGCATCCATGTTCCATGCCATATATAGGTGCCATATAGTGAGCTTTTATTTAGCTGTCATGTTCTCATTTTGCTTCACATTCCCCACCCAATCCCCCTGCAACCCATGGTCCCGTTGGCGTCGAGGATCAAATTTCATGGATTCTTGTTACCTTGGCCCGGTACATTTTTATGGTTCTTGATGCTGCTTGATGCACAGTAATGTTGTGACCCGCGCAGTAATGGCGCCGGTGTCGCGGGTGCTGTGTGTGTGCGGCGCTCGGGAGTTCGCCATCGTAATTATAAAAAAATTGAAGGTAAGATTATGAATCTACCTGTTTTGTGATCATTTACGATATGTCCTGCCTTAAACACGACGAATGGTTTACTTTGGTCCCGTACATTTTGTAGAGTTCTTGGTAAGCAGAAATATTGTGTTTACGCAACGGCAACGCAGAAACGGCGCTAGGGAGTCTTTTGCTTAGGTGTGTTAAAAAATGATCCCCAAGGCTTGTTCTGATGCTCAAAACTTGAAGCAATGTGCCTTGGCTTTCTTTCATAGCAACCAACACACCACTCATTGTGTTATACCTTTAGCTCTTTAAGTCTGTAAAATTCCAGTCTGTAGCATATTTTTTCTTATGCACAAGACACACACTCAAGGCCAATGCACTGAACCTCTGGATGGTGTACACTAAGCTGAGGCCAGACTCACTTGGGCTGAATGTCTGCCTCGTATGGTGCATTGTGATTGAGCCTGATTCTATAGCCAACTGTCGGCAGGTGGTTATAAGGACACAGGTGTTAATGACTGTGCCTTTTTACCTGTTTTTCCTGTCACGTATTATGCTTCAAGTTAGGTAGCAGGGATGTTACCAGATATCACAAAATGCACCGCCGATGTGATCTACCAAATAGACAGCAGATAGGTAGCTTTCATGCAATATGCCACTCTGTCTGCATAGTGAATTGAATATGGGTGCAATATGAAGGCCACGCTGAAATTATTTTGCCATTGCTGCATGGCTGTTCTCAGATCAAAGCTGAAATGGTGCTCAAGGATATTGTAACTCCTGATGCTGTTTTCAGCTGTTTTATATTTTAAAGCTGTTGCAAGCTTAGGGCTTATATAACAGCAGTTTTAAAAATAACTAATCTGAATCTTTTGAATGGGTGGATTTCTGGGATCAGCACTCACAATAAACAGTGCCTGTTGTGTGAGCTGTGACCCCTACCATCTGATCGCACAATTCCAGGCAAGGGCAACGGCAGAATTTAGTCGTGAAATCTTAATGTGCTGCGATGCTCGGCATGGTCCATCCAGCCCTCTGATGTCAACTAACCTTAAGTGTGACAGCTGCCATTGGGCTGCAGGCCATACCTGCCAAGGGCAAATATCGAGCACCCTGAACAGATTCGAACCCACCCCTCACCGATGGGTGGATCGCAATGCTGGTGCTCTAACCAACTGAGCCACTGTGACAGATGTATGAGTCTACCGTAGCAGGTTTTGCTTTTGCAAGATGCTGGTTCTACCAGACATGTATTGAGTTCAAATGTCATATTTGAAGCTATATGCAACATCTGTCTACACCTCTCCTACCCAATTCACAGCATCCTGCCCACTGTGACTGTGTGACCTTTGTATGACCTAATATTCTTACAATTTCTGTTTGCCTGTCTGGCTGTGTGGTGACCCTGTTATATACCTGTCATGACCTCTGATCTCAGGCAGGCCACATGGCTGTCCTGCACCACAGGCCTGCTCACAGTGTCTCCATCTCTTACCCCTGTCTTGCCTCTATCTGACCTCATCAGACAGTCAGACAGTCATCAATGTTTGACCTCAGTCTGACTTCCCCAGCAACGATCTCTGACCTTTGTCCGCTCCGGCAGGCTGCGCGGTGACCCCGCGCCTGTTAGCCCGCCGGTCATGACCTTCTCGCCAGCCAGCATCCGCAGCCTCACGGCCGGGGGCGCGACGGCGGCGGCCGGCGCCGAGACGGGCCGACCCAAGCTCACACACAGCTTGCTACACCAGTTCAATGCGCGCAACGCCCGCTCCATCGCTGTGGCGCTGGTGCTGGTGTTCATATCGTACCACGGCCTGGTGCGGCTGGTGTACGGCACCGACTCGTGCGCGTGGCTGCTGGCGCGCGGCGAGTACCACGCCGGCGCCGCCTGGCAGCCCTACGGCTGCATGGTGCACACGTACACCGTGCGCGACTCGCGCCGCTGCATGCGCTACCTCGAGTTCCTCGGCCAGCGCAACCACCTGGCGTTCGTGGGCGACTCGCGCGTGCGGCAGCTGTACGCGGCGTTCGTGACGCAGTTCGGCGAGACGGTGCCGCCGGCGGAGGGCGCACGCCGCCACGAGGACCTGGTCTACGAGGACGCCCAGCTGGGCCTGCGCGTGCAGTTCCTGTGGCGGCCGCTGGTGGACGAGCGCCTGCTGGGTGACGTGATCGAGTGGCGCGAGGCGCCGGCCGCCCGGCTGCCGCGCGTGCTCGTGCTCGGCAGCGCCACGCACGCCATCAAGACGTTCAACGGCTCGGAAACGGCGCTGAGGGCGTACACGAGGAACGTGACGCGGCTGGGCGCCGTGCTGGACCAGCTGGCCGGCGCCGGCGTGCGCGTGCTATGGACCGTGCAGGAGCCCGTGTTCTATGACCGGCTGGCAGAGCGGCGGCGCGCCATCACTAATGAACAGGTGAGGCTGCCCTGTGGCCGCCAGCGGGTCAGGCGCTGGTGAGCACAGGTCTCATGCTGCTGATGGCGTTGGTGTGTGCAGAGATGGCTTGGCTGTCTAAGTTTGACAGGCTCCTGCTGAAAGTACTTGTCTTGGCAGCTTTGGCACGTTCACCTATACCTTCAGCAGGACATCGGTAAAACCGGTGTGTCGGTGTGTCAATGAAACCTACAGCCATATCTGTGTGTTGGTGTGTCATTGAAACTGTGTGTGTGTGCCATGTGTCAGTGAAACCTTCAGCCACATGTCAGCAAACCTTCAGCCATGTGTCAGCAGAACCATTAGCTATGTGTCAACAAAACCTTCAGCCGTGCATCAGTGAAACCTTCGGCCATATGTTAGCAGACCTTCAGCCATGAGGTAGCAAAACCTTCAGCCATGTGTCAGTAAACCTTCAGCCATGTGTCGGCAGAACCCTTAGCTATGTGCCAACAAAGCCTTCAGCCATGCATCAGTGAAACCTTCAGCCATATGTCAGCAAACCTCCAGCCATGTGTCATGAAACCTTCAGCCATGTGTCGGCAGAACCCTCAGCTATGTGTCAGCAAGACCTTCAGCCATGAGTCAGCAAAACCTTCAGTCATGTGTAAATGACACCTTCAGTCATGTGTTCATGAAGCGTTCAGCCATGTGTCAGTGAAGCCCCCAGCTGCATGTCAGCAAAACTTTCAGCCATGTGTAAGTGAAACCCTCAGTCATATGTCAGTGAAACCTCCAGCCATGAGGTAGCAAAACCTTCAGCCATGTGTCAGCGAAGCCTTGAGCCAGGCGTCAGCAAAACATTCAGCCATGCGTCGAGAGGGGCATGTACTGTGTTTTTGTGATGGCTGGCACATTGCTGCTGATGGGCTTGAAGGCGTCGCTCGATCTCTTATGTCTGTAGATGCTGCTTTGATAGGAGGGCTCTTTTCGTATTGAATTCTGGGTATCCGGTGCCATGTTTGTGCTGTGTCCAGCTTCTTGGATTGTCTAAGTTGCGGCGTTAACGTCTTCAATTGCTAGAAACAATTTTAAAGTCCTGCAGTTTGCTCATTCAAGTTATTCTGACAATACCACTCGATACGGCTCATTCGCCTGGCTCGAGCCGTCGAACTTGTGCCAAGTTGCACCGCCAAAAGACCGGACAGCGCTGTCCTCAGACTAAGACCCAACTTTGTTCGAGCAAAATACGATGAGGGTTTGCAATATGTCGAGTGACGCGCTGCCTCAGACGGAGCACTTGCAACTAAAATTGTTCTGCCCCGTTTATGAGTGGACCACGCGAAGCTCCAGGGCACCTTATGAGGAACAGCTGAATCTCTCACTGACACCCACCTTGCCAATGCCTGACGTGGAAGCTGCCGCTCCGACTGTGGTGTGAGGCCGACATCACGCTGCTTGCCTGCGGTTAGCCTGCCGCTCGCTCGTTTTGGGACGTCATTTCTCTTGTGTTTGTCTGCGAGCCGTGCTGTTTGTTTGCTGATCACCTGTAGGGCCGTGAGTTGCCGCTGTCATTGGACACGCTCAACGCCCCGGCGGGAACCTCAAGCTGGCTGTAATGGTCAGACGCGCCGTACTGACCACCCGCTTTCACATCGATCAGTCCGCGGACAGACCCCTGTCAGGTGTGACATTGCACTGACCACTCGCTTCCACATCGATCAGTCCGCGGACAGACCCCTGTGAGGTGTGACGGTAGCTCTGTCGGCTAACATTGACGTCAAGTGTCACTGTAGCCTTATTCCTGTAGCCCTACTGTAGCCTTATTCCTCGGAGAAAACCAGGAGAATGGAGATGTAGTCGGGTTTACATTTCGGCAACATGTCTTTATCGAAACCATAGCAGAAGCGAATATTCACCTCGCATTCTATTTATGTTGTTATCTTATCAACCAAACTATATCTCCATTCTCCTGGTTTTTCTCCGAGGAATAAGACAAATAGGACTGTCTTATCTATGTGAATAATGTTCCTCTCTAATGCACTGAGCAACTCAAGTGCGCCCGCCCGGCTGCCCAGCTGACCGCGTCCCCGTCCCTGCCCCCAGATTGACCTGTACAACGCGGCGGCGCGCCGCGTGCTCGCCAGCACGCGCGTCCGTCTCTGGGAGAGCAACCGGCTAATCGGCAGCGGGCGGCTCTCCGAGAGCCGGGACGGGCTGCACGCGGGCCCGCGCGCCCAGGGCCACGTGGTCCAGCTGCTGATGAACCTCTACTGCAACGACCGCATGAACTACAACGACGGCACGTGCTGCAGCGGCGGCGAGCCCGTCACGCGGCTGCAGGTGGTGACGTTTGCTGGCTTCGCCAGCTGCGTGGTGGCGGCGGCGGCGCTGCGCGGGTTGCGCTGGCTGCGGCAGCGCCGCCGGCGGCCGGGCGAGCCCGAGGAGCCGGAGCCGGCCGCCGGCGGCGCGTACGCACTCGTCACTGCGCTCGCCCGGCTCGGCATCATCATGGCCTACTTCTTCCTCTGCGACCGCACGACGTTCTTCATGAAGGAGAACCGCTACTTCACGCCGCTGAACTTCTGGCTGCCGCTGGGTTATTTGGTCGTGCTGGGGCTGTTCTTCAATGAGGAGGGCCGCCATACGAATCTGCTGCACAGGGACCAGACGGAGGAGTGGAAGGGCTGGATGCAGCTGACCATCCTGGTGTACCACATGACGGCCGCCAGCAAGGTGCTGCCCATCTACATGCACATCCGCGTGCTCGTCTCCAGCTATCTCTTCCTCACCGGCTACGGACACTTCATGCTCTTCTGGAAGACGGGCCAGACCAACCTGGTGCGCTTCTTCAAGGTGGTTTTCCGCATGAACATGCTGACGGTGACGCTGTGCTTCTGCATGAATCGGCCGTACCAATTCTACTACTTCGTGCCGCTCGTCACCTTCTGGTACGTCATGCTGTTTATCATGTTGGTGGTGCCGCCGCGTGTCACGGCCAAGTCCAGCGAGAACAACCACGTGCAGTACCTCTACCTGGTCATCAAGTTCATCGTCTTCTTCTCCGTGGTCATCATCCTCTTCATGTCGGAGGTCTTCTTCGAAAAGATCTTCGTGATGCGGCCGTGGAAGGCGCTGTACGTCACAGAGGACGATGACATTCACCAGTGGTGGTTTCGCTGGCAGCTGGACCGCTTCAGCGTCGCCTTCGGCATGCTCTTCGCATTCCTTTACGTGTTGGCGCGCCGGCACTTGCCCCTGGACGACAACTCACCGGGCAACCTGCTCTCCGGCAACCTGGCCCTCACGGCCGTCTTCCTCTCGCTGGCCGGCCTCGGTGGCTACAGCACCTTCACCTTCATGTGCAGCAGCAAGCCCGACTGCAACCGCGTGCACCCGTACATTGTGTTCATTCCCATCCTGAGCTACGTCGTGCTGCGCAACATCGTTGGCTGCTTGCGCACGCGCTACTCGTCTCTGTTCGCCTGGTTCGGCCGCATCTCCCTGGAGCTCTTCATCGGCCAGTACCACATCTGGCTGGCGGCCAATACGTACGGCGTGCTGGTGCTGGTGCCGCTGTACCCGGTGCTGAACGTGCTCATCACGTCCTTCATCTTCATCTGCGTCAGCCTGGAGGTGCACCGCATCACGGACGAGCTGACGCCCGTGCTGGTGCCTAACGACTGGCGCCTCTGCCTGCGCAACTTCGTCATCTTCGTGCTCGTGCTGGTGCCCATCGGCGTGCACGACGGCATGTTCTAGGAGCGCGCGGCCAGCTGTGGGCGTGCCGAAGTGGAATCCGCTGCTGACCTGGGCATCTTTAAGGGCGGGGTTGCTGTGAAGACTCTGGGGGAGGAGTCGTGCGGACCTGGTGCCGGCGCCGTGGGCGGCGGGCTGGGAGCGCGGCGGCGGGCAGGCGCCGGCCGGTGCTGGCGGGCCGTCGTCCGCTGGCGGGCCTCGCCGGCGGAGAGCCGCCTGCACGTCATCGTCGGTCCCGGCGTCCCCCTCCCCTCCCTGCCGGTACCCGGCCAGCACGCTCCAGACATGGTTGTGAACGGGCACGTGTGGCGGCGTTGCCCCCTGTTGATTAGTTCTAAGCGCACACGACGTGGTGAGTCTGGGCGAGCTGGGCTGCCGGCTGGGACGAAAGTTTGAGAACCGCGGCCCTCCCGGCTGCGGGCTCGCGACATGTGCGGTAGTTGAGTTCGAGAACCGCGACCAGCTGCTCCCGCTGGCCGCCGGTGGGATTGGTGGCGCGGTTTGAGAGCGGCTCTTTGACCGGTCGCTCGGCGGACGGCCCGGGGCGGCCGGCCACGCGACCGCTGACGGTCCGCGCCGTACAGCTCTATCGCACGGTCTTTGCGATGCAGCGGCGGCGGTCACACCGCCTCCAGACTGCTCAGACATGGCTCCGCCTCTTGCGCGGCGGCGAGACTGAGCCCCGTCAGAGACGTGAGGGCGTACGTCTGAGATCTCCGCGGCGAGGGTGGGCTAGCCCGCTCTCGACCCGGGCGGAGGCCGCTGCTCGTGGTGCGCCAGCGGCGCGCTGTGCCTTCAGAGACCTGCGTGCTGTCCAGGTCGCCGCGGTCAGGTCCCAACACAAACCCGGTGGACACCTGAAGTCTGGTTTTTCTTCGGTTTGCGGCCCAGCTGTGCTCTGGTCGCTGCTCGGGCAGTCATCGAACGTCCGTGCGAGCGTTAGCTGACGTCATCTAACGTCATTTACGCGAGCGACTCGTGTTCATTGATTATCCCGCTGACGCCTCCACACTAACGGACCTGCGCAGACCGCGTTTCTGCGCGAGCGGCACGTGACATTCGTGTGGTGCACGGTGTGCCACGCGGATGTATGCAAAGGACGTGCCGTTGTCGCGTCCGCGCACCAAAGTGAAGTCTGTGCTGGGCCAGTACAGAGGAAACATTTGGGCATTAATGTGTGTGATCCGGTCTATCGCCCGTGTGTCTGGAGGCCGCCGAGTCTATGGGGTTTGTTTCCGAAGCTTCAGTCTTCTCCGACTGCACCGGTGGGAGGGCCATCTCGGCGTCGCCGTCGCTGCTGTGCCAGCGCTGGCCGCCGTCGACTACAGCTGGCTGCAGCTGGCCGCCGCTGGCTGCCGCTGGCCGCCGTTGGCTGCAGCTGGCCGCCGTTGGCTGCAGCTGGCCGCCGTTGGCTGCAGCTGGCCGCCGCTGACCGCCGCTGGCTGCAGCTGGCTGCCGCGGACGCAGTTCTGGCGCTCGCGGCGACAGTGGCGCCCCGTGTCCCAGCTTTTGAGTTTCTGAATGTGCTGTAGTGACGGCCACGAGCCGCGCGGGGGACGGCGCAATATCTGGGAAAGGTACAATTCGAACTCGGGCTGCCGGCTCACTGTCGGCGATTCCGAGCCGGTTTTCTGTGAGCAAGTTGAGCAGGGTCGGTCCAATGGAAACGGGTCCCAGACTGTTTTGTTGGTCTCCCAGTTAGTCTTCGATGAAGTATCCCTGTGATGCGACGGCTCCGCCTTGGTTGGCACGCGCCTGGTCCTTCAATGCGTCGACAGTGGCACTAGCATGCGTTTGGCTGTTATCAGTTGACACCAACAGCTGGCGGTCTTTCTTCTCCGTTTGTGGTGCACGGTGTGATTTCTGAGTCTTTGTTTGATAAGTTATCTCACGCTAGCGTTAAGCTCGTACTCATCTTCTCTCAGGTGTTCATGGCGATGGTTGACTGTGTGGATGATGCGAGTGAGCCCATGCTCAGTCCATGTCATTTTCTAGCAGCCAGTCGATTGTAGCTCACTCATTTGTTGGAATCGTTCGCGTGGTGTGCGTGCAATATCGGGCCCTTTGTGGTGTAATTGGACATATTAATCCAGTAAGTTTGGTGGTATGAATGGCCTTGCACCGAACGCTGCGGGCTGGGGTAGCTCCAAAATTTATCAGCCCTGCATCTTATCTGAGCCTGCGCCAACCCGGAATCCCGTCTAACCCCGCGCCAACCCTGAATCCTGTAGGCCCGCGCCAGTCCTGAACCCCGTCTAAGCCTGAGCCAACCCTGAATCCCATCTAAGCCCACGCCAACCCTGAGTCCTGTATAAGCCCGCACCAACCCTGCATCCCGCCTCAGCCCGCGCCAGTGACTCATCTGGCCGTGGCTGGACCTGTCCCATCACCTGACGTTTACCTGTTCCGCTCTGTGGGTGGCCACGTGTGCTTGTACGGTCCAGCCTCCCTGGAGTGCCGCATGTCTCCAGCCAGGCGTCAGAGGCAGCCGTCGGGGGTCGCGTGGGCTCGCTCGGTTCGTTTGACTGCCGACTAAATGGTCTTGACTGCGGGGGAGGCTGCGAACCGGCGTATGCGCCGTTGTATGAGAGTTCGGTGAGGTTCTGTTGCGGGCTCTGTGGAGGGTTGGATGTTGTGTTCCCCTGCTGAATCATGTCAGTCGATGTTGTTTTGTTTATGCGACGTCTGCATCTAGCATATATACCATCTGAGACTCATTGATTTAACCTCTAACTGCGAGGGGGGAAGGTGTGAGATTGCCGATTTTGTAAGCTTTATGTGAACACTGTGAGACTGGGCATTATGATGATGACTTCTGGCATGGCTGGTGGTTAGCTGTCGTTCTGTAGCCATTGTAGCGTGGTGTTGGGTGTATTGTATAACATGAACCGACTGGTGGTCTGCGCCGCTTGCTGTGTTATCTGCGGTCTATGGCTGGGGTCAGTGATTGCGACATTCTCTGCTATTGCATGTTGGCGTGAACAAACGGAACAAATACGATGTATACCATGTTACACCGTCGTGTTTCTTGGCTGCGCGATGCCTCGGTGCGAGTGTTGTGTGGAACCGTAAAGCAAACTGCAGCGGTAAAGAATGACTTCCACACACAGCAGACGTAGGTGGAACCACCTCGACCTCATGCGAGGTCACCGGGACTAGTCTACCCCGGTCACCTAGGTCAAAGTCGGGGGTTCGGTCCAGGATTATTAAGGTCGCGCAGCAAAAGCGTAGTAATGTGGATTGCGTGCACATATAATATTCCGAAGCACGGATATGTCGGCCGCCGTCGTATCAATTTGGTCACCGTGTTATCTTGTATAGTTGCGTGGGGAGCCGTCCGCGTCTTTACCGCCAGTTACTGTGCTATTGCCGTCCCCGGCCGCTGCTTTGCTGGCTCAACTAAAGCGCATTCCACCAGCAACTGGGAAAGGCCAACACGCCCAAAATAACATCGCGGCTATGACAGTTGGGTTCAAGCCATGCTAAGCCGTCAGAAAAGGACGGTAGTGTCGCGAGATTTTCATTCTAAGGGCTCTTCGTCTTTCCGGCATTGTGTTTTGCGTGCACCTTCAATAGCGTCAGGGTAGAAGGTTGCGAGGCGCCCCGCGTTTCCAGATATGCATGGTCAGTTCGACCTCGTGCTACGTCTCCACGGCCAGTCGTGACCTAAAACGAGGTCGAACATTTTTTTTAGGTCGAACTGCATTGGGGTGCGGCAAGCCCTATGCTGCCATGCCGTTTGCGGGCTATCATGTGTGAAGCACGTGACCGGAGTCGCGTTCGCGCCAGTGCGTCAGATCAGCGTGGGTCAGAGCGGAAAAAAACATCGCAACGGCTCTTGCCACGACCACCCAAACCCACCCATTGTGTTCCTCCTCTCAAGACGGGGTGTAGCCGGTTATTGTTCCAGGGAGAGGGCGCCTCATACGGCGGGTCGTTGTTCCCGGGAAGGAGAACGTCTCTGAGACGTTCTCCTTCCCTGGAACTCCTTTGTTGGTTGGCGCGTACAGGTGACGCCAACCAAGACAATCGACTGCCGCTGAACTGGTGAGGCCGGTCGGTCGATTCCCGGGATGCCGAGGGAACGCGAAGAGCCCCCGCAGGAACACGCGGACGACTGGTGCTCCAGCCCGGCTCACCGTGTTCCACGACGGCACGACTGGTGCTCCGCTTCCAAGTACATTCTCGGGTGTTCTGGCCAATCTCAGCAACTGCTATCGCAGAACAGGACGGCGATGCGTATTGTGTATTGGTGTGTATTCACAATGCCTTGTGGCTTTTTTATCTCACACTGTTACGCACATACATACATGCGGATCATTACAATTGAGGCAGCAAATAAATGGCTTTCTGAGGAAACCACCCCGGGATAGGAGTGATGTTAAAGAAAAGCAAACGTCCAGGTGCATAACCGCTGCACGACATACGAATATTGTCCTCCCAAATCCACGAAGTATTCCGTTTGATAACCAATGAACAAAAGACACTTCAGCGTACACAAAAAGACAACATCCTCTAAAGCCGCCCTAGCCACGCTCATCACACCCTACACCACCGCGCCAGCCCCACCAACCGCCCAGTAAACAGCCAACCAAACCGCCAACGCTCCGACGCCAGCTCATGCACACCCGCCACACGCCGACCACTCAGCCCACCGACATCGCAAGCATCCCTGTACATCAGCCGTCAGTCGTCCACACGCTCTGTACATGTCACAGCGCTCCGGCCGACGGGCCGCCAGCCAGCACCCGAGCGGACGTCTTCGTCACTCGAGCTCGCGGGGCCGCCGACAGATGGCAGCAGCCGCGGCGTGGTTCGGACGCCGGCTGGTCAGCCGTAGAGGTGCTTGTCAGAGGCTACCTCGCGGCTGCGTTTGACAATGGCGGCGTTGCGCACTCTGATTTTGCGCAGGCGGCTTTCGAGCGGTTCGGCTGGGTTGGTGGCGGTGGCGGTGGCGGCGGCGGCGGAGCCTGGCGCGGCAGAGAGCACGGGTGCGTGGTCAGACAAGCACGGGCGGTACGGGCACACCGCTCGCCGCGCCTGTGGGTGTGGACGGCGTGAGTTGATGCCGGACCGCTCGGCCGCCGCAGCCTGTGATCAAACGATCTGTTACCCGGGCGTCCGTGTGCCGCCGCCGCCAGGTGCCGCGGCGCCCGCCGCCCGCGCCTGCGGACGGAGCGCGCCGGCATGCTCGGCTGCACGGCCCGGCGCCGGCGGTCAGGGCGGACACACGGGGGCGCACGGGTCGGCCGCGCCGGCGCGTGCGCACGCACGCCCCGCCGGCGGGCCGGCGCCACCGGACAGACCCGGCCAGCCGAACATCAGCGACGGGGCGTTTCCAGTGGGGTTACCTGGCCGTGGCCGGCGGCCGCGGCGAGTGTCCCCGCGCCGTGGTGTCCACTGCGGCCGGTTGCGTGCCGCACCACGCCAAAATACACTACACATTGTACTACGCTTGGCAAATTACGGAGTGTTGAGCACAGATACAGCACGCAGCCGATGGTGAGGGCGCATCGCTTCGCGTCACGGTGCAACGTTACAGCGCAACGTAACGCGTTACAGCGCAACGTAACGGCCGCAATATAACAGTCAAACCACATCAGGGCAGAATACCATGAAACCTGCTATGGTACGCTATGTGGGCGAGCCACTTCAAATAGGGTGGGGCAATCGTTGTACTGGATGTGTTACATTAAAACGCGATGATTTAAACCACATGAGGTGGAAAGCGGGACGTATCACCGACCGCCCGGCCAGGGCCCGCAGCTGAAAGCCCGATATCACAGACAGGAAAACACTACTACGGCTTCCGGTCGCTCCCTCGCGCACGCATGCCGACCTGCAGACACATCTGGAATGACTGAACACGACGGCGACTGCAGTGATATGGCCCGAGAAAAAATAGCGGATTACAGCCACTCTCATGGCATATTGGCACAGCATGGCACGTCATATTCGGCTATGGGCTCCAATCGGATGAAGTGGACCAAAGTCACAGCTCGGGTGAGGAGGTCGTCGATCATGCTCAATGCACATGTCCATACAAAAAACATCTACGACTACCCTTTCAGCCGTGCGTAGTTGAGATTTGGTTCATGCAATCATGCGTGAGGGTGGCGGACACACGCGGCAGTCCACGACAAGCACAAAATCTCGCCGGCTCGCCACGAAATAGCACGCACCTAAGCTGGACCAACGCAACGCCGGCCGAATATCCCCAACTAATCCGCAAACAAGGCATAACCGGTAAACACGAGCACACCATTTCAAACGGCCCATCGACTTCGCATGGTCCCTGTAGGAGCGCGACGCACAACGAAAAACGTGAGCATACAAATCACCGGCGGGGGCGCGACTATAAATAACCGTCCCAAACGTCTTGCTGGGTGGGTGGAACTGGCCGAGACAACGCGTCCACCAAGGCGCTCCTGCCGCCGCCCCAACGGCGCTTCACAACCACCCGGTCACAGACGGGCCATTCCACGACAGATCGATCAGAGGATGACGCGGCGTCCCCTTCAAATTTGACGAAAACACGGCTGTAGATTATACCGCCAAGGCACCATTCTAGAAGCTTTGGAACCTTACGGCATGCCGATAAGGAAATGGAAGCTGATGAAAATATGCGATGACGTCGCGACAATAATTTTTCAACATGTTCTGACGAATAGAGTTTGCGGAGTATAAGGTCGGAGAAAAGCGCATCACAAATTATTATATCTATATTGTTCTAAATCATGGATCAGTATAACATTCAAGGCAAACTATGTCAATACACATACATTCATATATATATATATATATATATATATATATATATATGACTTAGCTTGATCTTTTATCTCATTTTACGAAGACACGTGGTGCCTTCGATTTTTTTAACACCGATATGCCATCAAATACCAACACTCGCCACGTATCACCGTTCAGATTAAACAAAGAAATTGATCGAATCTTTTCTAGATCCGTTGCAAATCAAATTTGGACATTGGGGGCATCACGCACGGTGGCCACCATGACTCGAGCGGCCGGTATCGGGTGGCCCGCGAACTTGACCTCGACACCAACCGGGACTAACAATGTGTAAATGAAGAACGCATTGTGATCGAACTCTCGCACCTGTCGTCCATCCCGAGTCATGTGGAAAGAGAACCGAATTGTATTTCAACGGCATGGTGTGCAGCCATAAATCACCAGCTCTAAACTCGTCGTTAATAGCGGGTTATGCTCCTGATCATTTGCTTAAGCTAGTTGATGTGAATACAAAAGAGGCTAACGTAGGCAGGTTCAAATCTTGGGCTGTTTGTTCCGCGCCGTAGGCTTTGTACAACTGAGTCGTAATAAATGTCTCGCGCTGCCTTCATCCTCCACAGGATTACTTTGAATGCAAGTTGTTCAGTGCATTAGCGAGGAACATTAGTCACATAGATAAGACAGAAGTATTAGCCTTATTCCTCGGAAAAACCAGGAGAATAAAGATAAAGTTGGGCTGGTATTCCGGCACCATGTCGTTCTCGAAACCATAGCAGAAAAGCTTCACCCATGTCTTTCGCTTCTTTCTTTAGCCAGATGTCTTATGGAATGGCAATATTTGAAATGACGTTATTATGGCGCCACGGATGCCAAGGTAACTTTGAAATATTTTCCCCGATATACCCTTCCCATGTTTGCGGGGTGCGGCTCAGAAACTAGACGGACTTAGATCTTAAGGAGGGCGGGATTGCGAACAGCATCGAACAATTTCAAGATGACTATTTCAGTTGATGATGCCCTGTGCAATGACTGCCTTTGAAGTGTGTATACGTTTCCCCAGAGCGCGCGACCGATGTTTGGTGCATGTATATGTCGCATGAGTTTAGACTACGCTGCATGTTTAGCATTCTGCGGGATTGCCACATCATGGTGTTGGGATATTGGTTGGGGTTAGATTTCAGGACGTGACACAAAGTTAGTGAAACACGATCCGCTCTATAAGGTTATTCGCGATGCGTTACTAGCCGCTGCGCACTTGGTTGACGGCGCTGCTGCCAACTAATGAGCGTTGTTGCCCTGCTATCATTTTTTTTGTTGGTGAAGGGGGATATTGTAACGGCTAGTTCCCACTCTCGTTCTTTGCACGTCGCCTCGCTTCGTCGCTGTTATGTTCGTCGGTGCCCGTTACCCGTTTACGAGTTTTACCTTGTTCTTCACTTCGTAGTTCACACTATTAATCACTTCATAGAGAACCTGAACTGTCGTGCATCATAAAACATTTCTGCAGTCTCGTTAAGCCCGTACAATAGATATGTGCAGTCATTGTGATATGCAGTGGAACGTTCTGGAGCGCGCCCATGCAAGATCAGAGGTCGCCGGGCAACGGCCCCGGTGTATACAAGCTGACGCACACTGCATGCCAGCAGGCGAGGTCCGACCATGACCAGGTCTGCACTGCTAACGCAGGGCGAGCGAGTCCGACTGTCTTGTGGCCAAATGAAGGTAAACCTCTTACTTGTCTTTGCAATAGACAGGGAGAACAAGAACGTCGATCCACCAACTGACGCGTTACATTGGTGCCTCAGACCCGGATCCACTGGACCAAGCGGGTCTTCAACGCTGAACGGACTGCTCGCCTCCAACCAAGGTACGGCAATTGAAATATAGGTCCCGGTCCATTCGATTCATATAAGTCGCTAGATCAAGAGAAAGAAACTTAATTACTTGGCTTTCGGCACCCGCACCTGTTGGAAGATCTTGGCGAACAAATTCGCCACTGATCAAGGCGACATTCTGAAAAACCCTGTCCGTGACATTGTCCTCATCTGGAGAACGGAAGAAAGAAACGAAAGCACTTCTGCGCTGGTCACAATCTAAACAAGCGCGACTTCCGTTTGTTGTGTGGCACTTGCCATACACGCAACTGCAATCATATCGCCAACTCCTGTTCCGTCTATCACTGCTGCTCCAGTCTCCCTTGTCCAGAACGTTGTTGTGGCTTTATCCCCGCTTGTCCCTGAACAGTAGAAAACAAATAATACAACTTCAGACCAGCTGATCTCTTCTCAAGTATATATATATATATATATATATATATATATATATATATATATATATATATATATATATATATATATATATATATATATATATATATATAGCTCATCGATGTGTTGTGAGGACTACGAGCACACGACGTTGCCATCTACGCGACTCTTGAGGGACGATAGGTACGCAAGGCCGAGTAGCACGCACTCGTCATTCAGACATTGTTTTGGAGTCACAGAATAATTTCAAAGTGACTGGTTTTAGGTAGAAATGCATTGTTTCAAGGCTCATGACGTGTCACCGCGCGTGACACGCCAAAGCTAAAACTCGATTTACAACCGGCCTAGATATCTTTCTAATCGGTGAATAAATTTTAATCGATCTCTTTTTAATTTGAACCGCGATAAATTGGTCCTCAATTGCATAATGGTTTAAAGAAAACCGAAGGAAAAATGTATTGAGAAAATGAGGTCAAATGTCAAATCAGGTTACTATATGCAGCTAGTTGACCCTGAATGCAATATTTACCCATTTTCCGGAAAAGTATAGGCATTTAGGTTTCCGATGGGCTATTCCCAGACAGTGTACACAGCAGACCGTTTTCGCTACATGAAGTTAAAAAACAGGTTTCGTGACGTCATCGCGCATTTTCATCTGCTCCTGGTTCCTTAACGGTACGCCATACCGCTCTAACACTTGCTGAATCGTGTTTTGGGCGTGTAATTACCCCTGTACAGATTGCCGTTGGCAATCGGCAAACCATTTGACGGCAAACAATTTGACGTACGTTCAAACTTGAAAGGTTGCGCCGTGTTGACATGTAACTATCCGCGACCGATTTGCCGTAGATTGACCCAAATGTCAGAGACCACTGGGCCAAAGCTTCCTGCCAGCTACCTGAGACAAGCACGATACGATACCGATTATATGATATGTGACGTGATATGATACACGATACCCATATGAGGCTTTCGTTATAAACCCTGCCATCACTCCAGCTACGCGGCTGGCTATCGCAGGTACGCCATATTAAATTTGTACGCGTACTCGAGGTGCGCTCAACAAAACGCTCGTGACTAGACGCCGAGTACACCACTTCCGTGGGCGAGACTCGCAGCCAATGAGGGTCGTTGATGGCGACGTCAATAGCTGATTGGCAGCTCGCTGGGCAGCTCACCTCCGCCGCCAGCAGTGCCGCCATCTCGTGAGTGTCGCTTGAGGCGCAGCTTGCGGCGGCTGACACCAGAGTCGGTCGACTTGGCCACTGCCGCCGCTCCTGACGCTGACTTGCCGCCACCCAGCCGGGAGAACACGGACGAGGCGGGGCGGCCGCCGCTACTGCCATCTGTCGTGAACAACGGAAAACAATGTCACAAACGCGGCAGCTGCAATATCAGCATCAGCGCCAAAACAGCTTGCAGGTGACAGGTCTGAAATATTCGATGGTATAGTTTCCTACTCCTACGTGTGCGTGCGTGTGTGGGCGTGCGTGCATTTAGATACGTGGAGTGTGTGCGTGTGGGGACTTTAATCTGCCAACCTTGATACGAAAGCGGGTCAAACTAGCGGGGGGGGGGGGGGACTCTAATCTATCAATCTTGGTAACAAAGTGGGTCGAACGAGGGGACAAAACCCATTCATTTTTATGCATTCTGGGCAATGTTTTATCACTCATCCCCGCTCAGTGCACCCGTGTTACGTCGTGAAACTCGACCACAACTGACATTTTCAGCAGACAAGATCCGACTCTTTCGCGAGACACCCCACAAACACACCGGTCAGTCCGGTTCGGAGGCTGCCCGTCCGCCTCTCTGTACGCTGGGCAGTCCGACGTACTGCAAACAAGATCATCCGCAAGACGACAGCGGACCGACTGCGGGCGACGCTGGCAACATCCCGGGGGCGAGCGCGGCCAGCGGTCAGCGGCCGCCGCCTGCGCCGGCCGGCGTCTGCGGGTCACGAGCCCGGCGGCGCCTCACCTGGCTGCGCCGCGCCGGCCGGCTCGGCCACCACCACCACGCGGCGGCCGTCTCGCAGCTCGCGGCGCCGCCTCTTGTCCCGGCGCCGGTGCCGCCGCTCCTCGTCCCCGTCCGCGTCCGCGTCCGTGGCGGCGGCGGCGGCGGCGGCGGCGGCGGTAACGGCGCGGTCCATTCGGCCGCGGCCCTCCGAGCCTGCCGCAGCGGCGCGCCGTCCGTCAGCGGGGGTAGGGCGGGGGCGAGGGCGGCGGAGCGGCTCGCCGTGCCGTGCGAGGCAGCTGATGACGACGAACAACATCCCTGACATAGGCCAGCTCCGGACCACACCACTCTGGACGCATATTACGTGCTCGAGTGAAGAGCCACACAACGGGCGTCAGCCTCCAGGAGCGTTGCTGGTAGAGGTAAGGTCACACCATTATCATCAGCAAAATGAGACCGTCATCTGTGTCCCACCTTATCACACACGACCATCTCCTTCTGGCGGCTGCAATGGGGTCATTTTTCATCTAACCTTCCGCCATCGGTGTCTGTTTTCACTTGCCTGTTTTTTTGCCATCCCACATCGCCATCACTCATCGCCGACTTCTTTTCACATTCAAAACATCTTCCCCCTCCCCCCCCCCCCCCCCCCTCCCGCTCCCAGCTCAGGCCCTCCCTTTAAACCGGAGGGCCGAAGCCGGCCGGCCGGAGCGCACTCGGCGGCCGCTGAGCAGGCCGCCGCTGCTCACCTGAGGTGGCTGCCGGCCGGCGCAGGACCGGGCCCGTGGCGGTCGCCGGCAGCGGCTCCTCCAGCTCGGCCACCAGCGACAGCAGCTCCTCGTCAACGCTGAGCTCAAGCGCTGTCGGCGTCGGCAGGTGGAGGGCTCTCAGAGCGTCGCTGCACGGGGGGCGCGGATCAGGTCCAGGCAGGTCAGCGGGTCCGCAGGTCACGGCATCACTCTAGATCACAGGGCTCGTTCACCAGGTCACAGGGTCAGGTCAGTGAGTCACCGGGCCCGTTCACCAGGTCACAGCGTCAGGTCAGCAGGTCACAGAGTCCGCTCACCAGGTCATAGGGTCAGGTCAGTAGACCACAGGATCACCAGGTCGCAGGGTCAGTTTAGCAGGTTACATGAAAAAGTCATCATGGCACATGATCAGTTCAACCGGTCACAAGGTCAGTCCAGCAGGTCACGGTCAGGTCAGCAGGTCATAGGGTCAGTTCAGCAGGTCAAAGGGTCAGTCCAGGTCACAGAATCAGGTCAGCAGGTCGCATGATGAGGACGGCACACGGGTCCAGTCAATTAATCATGGCATTAGCAGAACACGGCATCTGGGCAGCACACGGTGGCAGCGCCCGGTAGACATGTTGTCGGGTCTAGTCCGCAGCAGGCACCGACAGCGGCACGACAGCCTCATCTCACGTGCCGTCCCGGTCCACTCACCTGCGCCGCCGGAGGGGCCGGCTCGACGGACGGGCCCCGCAGCCGGATCGTCTTGGGCTGGCCCACCACCGGCCGGTTGCGCTCGAACTTCTGGCGGCGGCGCATCACCCGCTCGCGGTCCGGGCTGGGCAGCCTGCGCACGATAACCCGGCGGTGACGACACTGCGCTCGGGAGCTAGAGGTCTGGGTTCAATTCTCGTCGAAGGGAATTTTTACTACCGACGGTTTCCACGATATAACTTTTACTACCCAGGGTTTCCCTGTTAGAATTTTTACTACCTACGGTTTCCATGCGCCCCGGCAACCGCAGGGGTCAACACGCCGTTCGATCATCATTCGATCGTGGCACTGGGTCACCATCGCGCCGGGAACACAGCAGGGCCCAGGCCAACGTAGGGGAACGGGCAAACCCACATGTCTGATGGCCGGGTAGGATCGGTGGACTGGGGACTTCCTACTAGGCGCTCATGGCCCAAGTGAAACAATTCAGATTAGTCACCCTCAGCTAAACCAGAAACAAAGACGTTGAGGCCTTCAGCCTGAGGTCAGGAAGCGCTCTAACAATATTGAAGCCTCACATTGCGACAAAATCCATCGCAGTTTTGTGCCAATCAAGCAAGTCTGGACTTTGTTCGCCCATTTAAGTCATCTGACACAGCCGCTCGGTCCTTACAGCACACGTCGCTGGTCTCACCTTTTCAGCCGTTCCTCGAACTCGGCTTGCCTCTTGGCCTCCTCTTCTTCCTTGCGCTTCAGGTCGGCCTCGCGCCGCAGCCTCGCCTCTTCCTGCTGCTTCCTCTCTTCCTCCTGCCTCCGCCTCTCTTCCGACCGCCTCTTCTCGTCCTCCCGTCCTCCCGTCCTGCGCTCCTCCTCCGGTCTCCTGGCCTCGTCGCGCCGCCTCCTCTCGTCGTCCGGTCTGGCCGGCTCATCGGCCCTCCTGCGGTCGTCGCCGGCGCCGGTGCGCTGCCGGTCGGCGTCCTCACGCTGCCGGCGGCGCCACGCCTCCAGCTGGCGCTCCTCCCAGAGGCGGCGCGTGGCGCCGCGGGCCCGGCGCGGTGGCGGCGCGCCGGCCGGCCGCCGCGGCGAGGCGCTGCGCCGCCGCGGCGCCGGCGCCGGCGACGGACTGCGGCGGCCAGCGCGCGGCGCGGGCCCGCCGCCCTGCAGCACACGCGGCCAGGTCAGACGGCCGGCAGACGGATGGCACGCGGCGGCTGACCAGCGACAGGTGGCCGGCAGGCCAAACGACAAACAACCCGGCGATGACAGCACCGCGGCAACAGGCAATAACAGCAGAGGCACGCACGCAGTGCAGATAACTGTCAGACACACGCTGGCGACGACTCGGGCGACCGCCCGCCAGGCGGCAAAACACTGCCGACCGGACGAGGACCGCAGACCGCGGCAGGCGGTGGTGCTGAGGCGCCGGCCGCGCCGGCAGGGCAAACGCAACACCAGGTACACCAGGTCTGCACACCGGCCGGCCGCACCACGCCACACATGGATGGCGGATCGCCGACACATCGGGCACCAACCGGCTACGGCGAGCGCCGTGCGGTCAGGACACATCACAGGCCCGGCGCCATCCGTCCATCCGGCACGCCACCACTTCAACACATTACAGAACCGGCGCCATCCGTCCATCCGGCACGCCACCACTTCAACACATTACAGAACCGGCGCCATGCGTCCATCAGGCACGCCATCACTTCACAACACATCACAGAACCGGCGCCATCCGTCCATCAGGCACGACATCACTTCAACACATCACAGACCCGGCGCCATGCGTCCATCAGGCACGCCATCACTTCAACACATCACAAAAGGCCGGCGCCATCCGTCCATCAGGCACGCCATCACTTCAACACATCCGCACTGGGGAGAAGAGGCGGAGAGGAGCGGGGAGGTGGGGGGAGAGAGAAAGAAAAAGAGAGAGGAGAGAGAGAGGGAGAGAGAGGGAGAGAGAGAGGAGGCGGAGAGGCGGAGGCGGAGGCGGCGGAGGGGAGGGGGGGGGAAGAGGGAGGATGCGGACCGTACCGGATGTTGGACTTCCGGTGAGCGGGCGCCGGCGGCGCGGGCCCACGAGCGGCAGGCGGGCCGGGGCCGGCGCCGGCCCTGACCGGCCGTCCCACGCTCCTGAGGGGACGGCCGGGCGACGGCGACGGATGTCAGGATACGGCAAGGGGCTCCCGTGACAGAGACGACAGCGGAACGCTCCGGAGGGCGTAGTGAGCACAACAGCGCTCGGGGGGAGGGGACCAGAGAAGACAGGAGCGCCCGGAAGGACATAGTGATCATGCGATCACTCAGGAGGGCCCAGTGATGAGGAGAGCTCCCGGGACGGGGTGACCCCGTGAACTGTCGGGTGCAGTGATCCACTGGAATTGTTTAGGGTATCTAGCCTTAGGTGGACTCACAAGATCGGCTTGAGTTACCACCAATGGGGTAGAGTCACGGTTCAGTGTGGAGCTCTTCCCCTAGCATTCCACGACCCAGTCAGCAACCATGTATGAAGATGTGAACACGAACCGACCATAAAAAATAATACACCCAAACTGTGACGGCGAAGTTTTAAACACGCCCTAGGGTATGACCAAGCGGTCGGGATTTTTCGTTCCCCTTTGAACCTACGCCCATATCAGTGAGGGCCCCAGCTTAAGTGCTGAGAAGCCGGCCTGCCCCAGCCGGGGTGCTGAGACACCGCTTCGCCCTAGCCTATGGGGCGCATAACTGACGACCGGCGGAGCTCAGGGGTGACGAGGCAGTGTCACAAACACAGCGGAGATCACGTGACACGCCAATGGCTTCCACATGCCCGGAACGCAGCTGGATGCACGCAGAACCGACGTAGCGCGGCATGCGATTAGGACCTAGCTAGTTTTAAAGTAAAGTAAAGTCTAGGCTTTAACGAACAGTGTGGCGACAGCGGACACGATAACCAGTATCGCTGCAGGCAGCCTTCCAACGTAATAAAAACAACGGTTAACACCCGGCGGCCGCGCCACGTCCAACAATCAATCACTGAGGACCACCGTCCGCTTACAACACCATTGTCACTGCATCCTTTGCCGACGGCTGTCACGTTTGTACAGGTGACATCTGAACGCCTAGCTACAGTAAAGCAGCACGTCCCTCTTCCAGTGTCGGTCGTCGAAAAGGCCGACACCGTAACAAGACATGACACCGCGGACCACCACCGTGCTGTGAGTACCGCCGCCGCCTCAGCAGCGGCGGCAGCTGGAGGCTGGGCTCCGGACCACGGCGACCGCCTCACCTGTCTGATCGGCAGCAGCTTGCGGGCCGGGCTGCCCGAGCGGCGCCGCTCCGGGCTCAGGCTCGGCGTGCGCAGACGACGGCCGGCCGGCGGCGGCGACAGGCTGCGGCGCCGCGGCGGCAGCGGCGACCGGGACCTGACGCGAACGGGGCAAGGGTCAGGCAAAACAGTGATTAAGGCGGGCGGGTCCTGACCCGGGCAAGAGAGGGTCAGACACAACAGTGACGGGACCTGACACCGACAGGCAAGGATCAGACACAACAGTGACGGGACCTGACACCGACAGGCAAGGATCAGACACAACAGTGACGGAGGCGACCGGGGACCTGACACGGACGGGGAGAGGATCGGACACAATGACGGGCGCCTGACACGGACAGGCAAGGATCAGACACAACAATGACGGAGGGCGATCGGGTCCTGACACGGACAGGAGAGGGCCAAAACACAACAGTGACGGAGGCGAACGGGACCTGACACGGACGGGGAGAGGGTCAGACACAAACAATGACGGAACCTGACACGGACGGGGAGAGGGTCAGACCCACAAGTGTTACCCTGGCCCTTCCCCCTCCCCATGTTACCTGGAGTGTCGGCCGGACCGGGCCGTGTGTCGGGGCGGCGTGTGGCCCCTCTCCCTCCCATGTTACCTGGAGTGTCGGCCGGACCGGGCCGTGTGTCGGGGCGGCGTGTGGTCCCTCTCCCTCCCCATGTTACCCTGGAGTGTCGGCCGGACCGAGCCGTGTGTCGGGGCGGCGTGTCGTCCCGCAGCGGCAGCCCCAGCTGCAGCCGCCGGATAAACTCCTCCTGCGTCAGCGGCAGCGGCCGGGGCGGAGACCTGTGGCCGGCAGACAGACGGGCACGTGAGACCACTCCGGCATCGGAGAACCCACACAGCGCACAGCAACAGCTAGAGCAGGCTGAGCGAGACATGACAATGACAGGTACATGGCCACGGTGACGCAGCGGCGACGATTGCCGGAGCATGAAATCTGGCAGGCGAGCACAGACCGCAACACGCAGACGCGGGCCCACTGAGTTACTTATTATTTTTGGAAGCTTTAGGACGCATCAATGCATTGCTTCATGGGATGCCACCAAAGTAATACCACTCCTTGGGCACAAATGAGACCTCCAGCGGCCCGCTCCCACATTCAACCGCGTAACCCCCGCCTCCCCCAGGCCGTCCGCAGACGCCGGCCGCACCTGGAGAGCAGGGTTGGCGACGGCGGCCCCCGGCGGCGGCGAGCGGCGGGCCGGCGAGCCGGGGTAACCCCGCGCCGGCGAGCTCGGGTAACCCCTCGCCGGCGAGCCCGGGTAACCCCGCGGCGGCGCGAGCGCCGGCTCGGCGAGGAGCCGTAGCCGCGGCCCGGCGAGCCGACGGCCGCCCGCTTGGCCGGCGGACCTGACGCCCGCGCTGGCGGCGGACTCAGGGCACGCTTGGCGGCCACTGCCGGCGGCGGCGTCCGGCGGGCCCTCGCCCCGTCAGCAGGAGACCGACGGTCCCTCGGACCCCCAGGCGGACTGCGCCGGTCCCTCTGTCCCGCAGGCGGACTGCGCCGGTCCCTCTGTCCCGCAGGCGGACTCCGCCGGTCCCTCTGTCCCGTAGGCGGACTGCGCTGGTCCCTCTGTCCCGCAGGCGGACTGCGTCGGTCCTTCTGTCCCCCAGGCGGACTGCGCGCGGTCCTTCTGTCCCGCAGGCGGACTGCGCCGGTCCTTCTGTCCCGCAGGCGGACTGCGTCGGTCCTTTTGCCCTCCAGGCGGACTGCGTTGGTCCTTCTGGCCGCCAGACGGCGCCTTGCGGCCCCTCTGGTCGCCGTTGGTGGCGTCCCTCGTCTCGGGCCGTCGCCTGGCGTCCGCCTGCCTGCCGGTCGGCGGCCGCCGCTTCGGGCCGCGCGCGCTCCCGCCGCTCCCCGCCGGCGCTTCTTCTTGGCGTCCGCCTTGTCGGCCGGGTTCTCGACGAAGTCCTCGAACTCGGCCAGCATCTTGTCAAAGTCGTCGTCGCCCAGGCCCATGTCGATCACGTCCTCGTCGTCTTCCTCGTCGTCGTCCTCGTCGTCCTCGTCGCTGGCGGTCGGCGGCGAGGCAGGCGGGCTGGCCGGCCGCTGGCGGTGGAGAGGTGTCGACGGCGGCCGGCGGAGGGGACGTTCTCGGCGGCGGTGGCGGCGGCGGCCGGTGGGGTCCTGCCCAGCCTCGGCCGCCACTGCTGGCCGCCGGCGCGCCCGACGGCTGGAGGGGCGGCATCAGCACGGTGAGCGGACACAGTTCACTGCAGCACAGCCACGTGCATCGCACCATAAACCTGACAGTAGAGAGCGGTGTACGTCCGGACCATGAAAACACGGGCGCACCACACGGCCAAAACTCAAGACAGCAAACAAACAGCGCTCGTCTGGTAATCGGCGTCTGCCTCTAACGGAGGTGACTGAATATACTACATAATAGAGGAGCGGCTGCACACACACTGTAAATCAACTCGCTGCAGTGCTACGGCGCAGACCAATTTGGTGACACAACAGGATGGCTAACAGGGGCCAAAAAAGCAGACTTCAACTGGTGTGCACTACCACCACGACTCGATATCCATTCACATTTTTTCCAACAAATGATGTATCACACACCACAGATTCCTGTATTCCTGTTTGGACCCATGTATCCACTTGGATGCCACAGTTCCGCTGCCAGGCGATCCCCCTGTGCCCGGGCTCCGCCACCGGCCGGCCCTCACCTGGCTGTCAGCGGGCGGCTCCGGCTGCTGTGACGTCACGGTGACGTCAGGGGTGTCCGGCGGCGCCTCCTCTTCCTCCTCCTCGTCCTCGCTGTTGGACCGGTCGATCCGGCTGAACTTGGAGCTCTCTGCCGGCGGGGACAGGGCGGCTCGGTCTCCAGGTCACCGGGGGCGGCTCGGCCCCGGCCGGCGGGGACGGGGCGGCTCGGTCTCCAGGTCACCGGGGGCGGCTCGGCGCCGGCCGGCGGGGACGGGGCGGCTCGGTCTCCAGGTCACCGGGGGCGGCTCGGCACGGCCGGCAGGGGCGGAGCGGCTCGGTCTCCAGGTCACCGGGGGCGGCTCGGCGCCGGCCGGCGGGGGCGGGGCGGCTCGGTCTCCAGGTCACCGGGGGGCGGGCTCGGCGCCGGCGGCGGGGGGCGGGGGGCGGCGGGGCAGGGGACAACGGGGCAGGGGACGGCGGGGCAGGGGCCGGTGGGGCAGGGGACAGCGGGGCAGGAGCCGGTGCGGCAGGGGACGACGGGGCAGGGGACAGCGGGGCAGGGGACAGCAGTGCAGGTTAGTCCCCGGGCCGCACGGCCAGCCAGCGTCCCCCGAGGGAGGCGGCTCTGGCTCACAGCGCCAGCGGCGCACCACGATAGCGGGGAGACACAGTGGGCTCACAGGCACGGAATGCGACCAATGACAATATCGCTGCCTGGATGCTGACTCCTCCCCCCTCCCACCACAGGGTCTTTACTGCAAGGGAACTTAGCTGTAGGCTATACCATGACCATTTATCCACACAGTCGAGGGTGAGAACAACTATTATCTTACTTCTCTAGCCAAAATAAAAATATTAATAATAACAATAATATAATAATAATAATATATAATAATAATAATAATAACAATGATAATAATAATAATAATAATAATGACCTGAGAGAGGATTCAGATGTGGGGTCCATTACACACTTAAGACCAGTCATTGCAAACACCATTCTAGATTATGTTGAGAATACCAAGGGATTGTACAGACTCAATCAAACAGAAATTCCCAAAAATATACTTTGAATATAATACAGTTACTGCATTGCAAGACAAAGTTCAAAGGTCCTTGGAACTGTCCAGGCAGCCGACATAACGTCAGATCATGGCCAGTACCACAAGAAGTAAAACCAGACTTTGCTGCTCACCTTTCTTGCTTTGATTCTTCTCAGGTACTTGTTCATGGCTGCAACAAGAAATGGGAGATAACCCAACATGCATAGAAACCAGCAGAGACCTCATGCACCACCTCGTTCATCGCAACCACCACATACCAAGTCATCTATCACGACCGTCACATACAAAGTTGTCCATCACGACCATCACAAATCAAGTCGTCCAACACGACCACCACATACTAAGTCGTCCTCCATGACCATCACACACCAAGTAGTCTACAGCTTACAAACGCCGTGGACAATAGGCCTGAAAAATACCACCAGCTAATTAATCTTTCTACAGACAAGCATTACATTATTTCGAACATCATCACCCACGGCCGGCACGTCACAGCACCCACAGCCGGCGCCGCGCCGCCCGGCGTCAGGCCGCAGCTGCCCCCGCCGGAGGGCGGCTCGGCGGCGCGCGCACCTGCGGCTGCGCTGTCGCTGTCGGCGCCGCTCCTGTCGGCCGGCGGCCGGCTCCTCGGCGCCTACCGGTACGATGGCGATCAGAGCCGAGCTGGCTCCCGCCCGCGGCGCCACCTGACGGACCGCAGGTCAGGTCAGGTCAGGTCAGGGAACATTCGCCGGAGCGTCTGCGTGACCGTATCTTCCGGCTGCGCCGTGGAGGGGCTGACTAAGAGATGGTTGGCGGCTACAGGTAGCTGGCTGACAAGCCTGCCCACAGGCCAGTGCAATGGGGGGTCAAGCAGGAACAGAGCACTTCACGCAATAGGGGAACACTACATGCTATGGGAATGACACAACTGAGCAACCATGAAAGTGTGATCAGATGTCCTCCAATTCATCAATGGCAATCATCAAGTTTGTGATGGTTTGCACTAAAAAGAAGAAAAATTAGATACATCATGAATGATTACAAAAAATGTTAAGCAGGAGTTAAGTCCGATTTTTAACCGTGCACCAAGCAACGGCACAGAATGCATGTTAAAGGGTGCTTCACATTTAACTGGGAGCTTTGAACTGAAATAGCCATCTCAGCGAGCCTTCAGTGCAGTTCAGAGCACTGCCCTTACGACCTAAACCATCCTAGAGTCTGTGCGAAACGCTCGTGAGGATGTGCTTACTTTTGTAAGAAAGTTATTTTACAGTTACACAAGAATCCATGACACCTTAGTAATGCTATTTGAATTCTACTATTTGATTGGTCATGCAGCAATCAGTAAAGAAAATGCAATTGTCGAGTCGTTTACACGTGACTTTCGTGAGCACAACTTCCAGATATAACAGCTATCAATAGGCTCACAACCAATGTTTGCGATGTAATGGCCATCAATTTGCTCACAACCGGTTGCTGTGCCATGTACGTGACAAAGAATGACATGTTGAGAGTAGCTCCACTAAACAGAGAAAATTATGTTGTCTAGAGCAGCCTTCTCCAATTAGTAATAAACCATTAGTCATGTATGCTTATTTCATCACATCTGATACCTGTGTTAATATCTTCAAATGTGTATCATCCACTTAATCTTAAGACATGTGCAATACAAAATTTGTAACTGGCAACCTTTTATCTTGTCCTGCCCCAACAAGGTTGCTGCAGCCTCATTACAGCCAAAGCTCGCTGTACGGCCACCAGACAGGTCAAGCTGCTGAGTGGCCACATAACCAGACAGGTCAGATCGCCAAACAGGTCAGCCACCAGACAGGTCAGCCACCAGCCAGCCACTGCCCGCCATCCACTGACCCGTCCCCGGCCGTGCAGGCCTCCCGGAAGCCATGCAGCGGGCCCGGCCGGCCGCGCCGCCAGCGGCCCTCCCGCTGCTGGTGCTGCAGCAGCTGGTGCTGGTTGCTGCAGGGGGTGCGGCTGCAGCGGCGGCTGCCAGGGCGCCGGCACCAGCGGCGGCGGCGGCCGGCTGTAGATGAACGGCGGCACCAGCGGCGCCACCGCCGCCGGCACGAACGGCGGCGCGAGCGCGGAGAGCGCCGACGGCGCGGCGGCCGGCCGCGGGCGCGCCGGCCGACGACTTCTTGGAGCGGAGCGCGGCCAGCCGCAGCGGCCTCCAGGTCGTCTTCGGAGTCGGAGCCGGAGCCCATCGTGCGGTCGGCGCTGGCGGCGCTCCGCCGACTGGGCAGCTCTACCACTGGTGCCGCTCTGCCGACCGGGCAGCTCTACCACTGGCGCCACGCCACTGATTGAGCGGTTTTACCACTGGTGCCAGGATGGACCACTCTGCAACATACATGGGCAGGAGCTGTGAGTTGTGGCTTATTCATCAGGTTATGTAATGAGGTGTGGGGACCTATCCAATGTGCTGAGATGCATGGCAGGGAGCAATGAACACATCAAACATTGCAATATTCTTTTTGGAACAACCCTATTGTTGATGAAGATGCATTAGGTGCAAAATCTTGTCCAGTTCATGGAGTTTAGAAACATCATACAATGTTTAAATGCACCAAATATTTAAATACACTAGTAATTAGCACTAAACATCAGTTAACACTAAATACTTCAGTCATTGCTATCATGAAATAAAGAAAATGCCATGGAATGCATCTAGCTAGCACTGATATGCAAGTTTATTAACCCAGGCAATGCCACCCAGCATTTGCAGTAGCATACTAATATGGTCCATTCGGTCCAAAACCATTGGATACCCAATATCATAGTAATCAATAGGAGGAGAACTTTGTTGAAACTGGATGCTGCCAGTGTAAGGCAACTAAAACACTTTGATGCCCATGATTATTTACTGGACATCATATCCCCACTGTCTGTGATAAAGCAGGTTTTGGTGAACATAGTTCTGAAAATGAGCTTCTGAAGTTCATTGACACTTGACCATTCCATGCTGTGACCTATGTTGCAAGATAACTGCTGTGTCCTAACCAAATGGGTTTCAACCACTCTTCTCCCAATGCAAGGCCTATCTAAGAAAAAATTGACATCTTCCCAAATAGCTAACTAAAATTGTTGACACTGGTTTAACAATAGATGTGAACATGGGATGAAAGGAACAGGCCTAACACTTTTTTGTGCCTATAGATCTAGACCTGAATTTAGCTTTCCATCCTACAACTTACAAGTAAAACAAAAGTCTTCACAAAACAAAAAATATGCTTTAATCATGCATGCATTATGTAGGGCCGAAGTTAGTTGGTGTACAGAGGTTAGTTAATTTTTGACACAACCTGCGCAATAACTGGGGATTTACCTACATTCTTGGCTACATACAAGATTTTGAGATTCCTCATCTTTCAGAAGAACAGACACTAACCACACTGGTTGTTATTATTGGTACCCTGTGTATGTTAATAACCTTTACATCATTGGTCAATATTTATGCTCTTTAAAATTTGATTTGGTTCACATACTTTTGCCTCTGCAATAAAGGTTAGTTACTACACATATATGAAAGGAGCAGGCAACAATTTTTTCAGCTGTGTCCAACCAGGCCAGAACAAAATGAATGGCAAAGTCAATTTTTGATGAAAAATGCAGCAACTATGACAAAAAATGACAGCCTATGTTACATCATTTGCTCATGCCATTAACTGCATAGTTATAATTTTTGCATCAATGACCACACTTGCCTAAAAAAACTGCAGCTATACATCAAACATATCTAAGACAAACATCCCCTTTTGAAACCTATGAGGCAGAGCAAAGGTTTTGACACCTACTACCATTTACCAATGAATGCTGTCAAGAGCCTCATCTGCATCACACAAACCACCACTAGAATTATGTGTCAGTGACATGCTCATGGAACAAGTATGTGACAATACCACACAACTAGCAACACTAAATTTTGAGCTTGTTTCTCCCAGAAATACAGGGTTTTCTTCAGGTGGTACATCTCCAAAGCTTGCCTTTTCGGTCCTACAAACCTTGAGAGGCACAAACAGACTTTCAGACCACGCGCTACATAATAAACCAAAATCTTTGAGCCACTTCAAACAGTGCGTCCCCAACAATGCATTATCGACAATGACAGGGAACGAGAAAAATGTAGATAAAAACATCTGGCTGATAAGGCAAAGGCCACTTATCTACCTTCCCAAAGCCGATCAAAATAGGACGTTTGACACGCTGAGGTTTGAATACCCACTTATAAGATAACCAACTGTGTGTCTTTATTCACGGCTTCTTCACAATGTACTAGTTATTCTTCCGACAGACACCTGCGACGCGCTCGCAATGGCGCCTGTTCCGACAGGATTTCGGCGCATATAAAAGTGAATGTATAAACAAGAGAGCCGAAGGGGGAAAGAGCAAAACCAGTTTCGCGTCAGTGACGTCATGAAACAAGCTGCGTCAAAATGTTTCAAGTTTTTGACGTAGAAATTATTTAATATCCTACCAGTTAGGATGAATTTAATAATTTGAGTATGGTATGGTGTAAAAACTTGCTTGTTATCCATAATAATGTATATCTATTTTGATTTATATTCTGTGACGTCAAAAACACTATTTTTTGCAATTGTGGCGCTATAGCTAAATACTATTGCTGGTTGTAGAACACATGAGGGAATAACTGCTATTTTGCAAGATTTGAGGGTTATGTTTCTATTGTCTGACCCTCGTTGATAGTTGGGAATGTGAGTGTAATCTGGCGCTGGTACGATGTCTTGGGTTTCTTTTCATTGTAGGAATTTCCAGGCAATGTGCATCAGCTAGTGTTAGTTGTCAGCATCATTTCACCAATGCAACATTTCCCTGCTAGTTGACGGGTATCGGTAGAGATTGATGTGTACATATATTTATAGGTGCCATGGTATATGTAGGGTGCTGTAAACCTAGCCTGATAATGAGATGGCTTATGACGAATGTAAGAATACGAAATTTTGTATTATGCTTGTCAGTTCCCAATTCCCAAGTCTGTAGTTTTTTGAAAGCTATTTGCAATGGGCTTGGTTTCAGGATCAGATAAACAGACTTTATGAGTTAATCAACAGATTTTTACTTGGATTTGCCCTTCTTTCTTTTTAAACATTTGGGGCTGGATTCTTTTAATTCAATGGAGAAGTATGGCCCTGATGCAGCCCTTGAGAAAGTAAAAATGTTCACTTATAAACCAGATATGTCTCTAAAGGCCACTTTTCAGATGATCAGAATGGCAGGCTGCCATTCAGTGGCAGTGTCACAGCAATATGTGGCTCAGAAAATCTTAGTTGAAGTTTGGCTTTGAGCTGGAATTGCTCTACTGCAGTGATAGGGAAAGATTTGTTGCAACCAGCTATGCCTTATAGACATCCTTAGTCTGAAACCATAGCCAAAAAATTTGGTCTAAGTTTTTCATACAAAAATTGTCCCGGCTTGCCTGAGATCCAGTCTATGCTATATGGGATGACTATGCCTTTAATTGTCCTGTTTATTGGTAAATAATTTGAGGCATCTCATTGAGTGCTTTTTTCTGTGTCACCTTACCTGTTTTTGCCTGAATATTCCTTGAGTTAGGATGCTCCTGAATGAGGTGGCCTACACTAACTAAGCAGGAAAGATGAATGTCCAGTCCGTTTTTTGTCAGTTCTTTTCGGGTATCCAGTGTTTTGCAAAATGAGCTTCCTTGGGATGCTGCTTAGGCATGCTATCAGATGGGGAAAATATGGAACCAACTGCATTGCCTCCTAAGTTCTGGTTTAAACATTGATTGAGGTCAAGGTCAAGTTGAGATATCATGCATTACTGAAAACTGAATGAGGATATCAGTTTCAGGATGTCATTCCTAGAAAATTCAAGCCATAGTGTGCTTCTGGATTGCAGTGACCAAGAATCCAGCATGAAAGGAAGGTATGCTGGCCACCACCAGGCTGCAGGGTATTTGGTTGCATTTAGAAGTAACTTCTGTTATTTTACTGTGAATTCAGTCAGTGATGCATATGTTCTTCCAAGTTTGCTCTCTAGGATGTTGTGGCTGAAATACTGAAGTCAGATCCTAAAATCTGAAACATAAAGTCAGTGTAGGTTAGGTGTTGATTCAGCTAAGTTTACAATTTATATGATGCTGATTTAAACATCTGTCACAACAATACAACTGATTATCAATGCAATATGAATGAAACAGAATCCAGCCGTAACCTGCAAACCTTGACCTCTTGCCATGCCATACAGCAGTGGCCCGCTCCACTGACTGCACATATATTGATTCTTGTGCTGTGATTGGCTGGCACCATGTGACGTAGACGCCATCAAATGCCGTGATTGGCTGTTGCAGCACAGTGGCCTGGGCCGGTGCCGACCCTGCTGGACCCTGGCAGCGATGGGGCGGACTTCGACATCTCCAGCTTCTTCAACCAGCTGACGGCGGCAACACCGGCGCCGGACCCGGGATCCGTACCGGGGTCGGGGCCGGGGCCGCCTGGCTCCAGCCAGCTGATGGACCGCACGTGTAAGGCTGAGCCAGCTCCGGCCCCCGCTCCCACCTCCCGCCGCCCGCTTCCGCTGTCGCCGCCCGCCGCCCGCCGCCCGCCGCCCGCCGCCCGCCCGCCCCGCCGCCCGCGTCCAGTCCCGCCGTCCGCCGTCCACTCCCGCCGCCCGCGTCCGCTCCCGCCGCCCGCGTCCGCTCCCGCCATCCGCGTCCGTCCCCGCCATCCACGTCCGGCTTCTGCGTACCGGAGGAGAAATGATGCAAGTGCTTGGTGGCTTCAATGGAGCCTCATATCTATTTTAGTGCAACTTTAAATTCGGCCGAATTGAACGTTTGGTTTTCCCATGCATTGCTTTATTAGTGACTCCTCTGTTCCTCTTCGTAGTCGTCGGCCTGCAGATAAGATACGTGAGTGCCGCTTCCATCTCCAACTGCACGGAGCATTCCTTAAAAACATTCATGAAGCAACAAGCACGTCATGTTCTAGACCGCAACGTCGCACTTCGCCCAAGCGAGACTGGCTGAATGTTGACTGGCTGGCCGTGCCATCCAGGTGTGGCAGCTGAGCTGAATGAGGGGCTGTCGGCGGTGGACCAGCACACGGTGGGCGAGTTATGTGCAGCTGATGGCGAGTTATGTGCGGCTGCTGCCGAGGCCAGCGCTGCCGACCTGTCGGCCCTGCTTGGAGAACATGCAGAGGTAGGAGGGCTCCCGCGATGGCGTCGGACATGTGACGACGGCGATGGTTTAGATGTGCTTGATGTCTCATTGTTCTCGGTGCTAGGTAGATGCTAGGTACATACTCGTGTGGTGGAAGGTTGTGTTAGGTTCAGTCGGTCGCTAGCTGTTGTTGCTATGAGTTTTCTCACTTTCCATCCAGTTGGGCGCCTGGTTGCTGTTCTGATCAGTCGCTGACTGATAGGCCTGGCCAGTTGCTGATGGTCTGTCTGCAGGTGGTCTGTCAGCTGATGGTCTGTCAGCTGATGGTCTGTCAGCTTATGGTCTGTCTGCTGATGGTCTGTGTGCTGATGGTCTGTAGCTGATGGTCTGTCAGCTGATGGTCTGTCTGCTGATTGTCCGCCCGCTCAGTTACAGGAGGCGCTGCTGGCTGCCACGGAGCCCGCGCCGCCCCCCGGGAAGACATTCGTTGTCGTTAAAAAACAGCAGGTGGGTGAAGATCATGATGCGATAGACCACTGATGATCATGCTGTCTTGAGCAGAGACAATATGATCAAACTTCAGTGACCGCTATCATAGGCTCTTATATGCAGTTCGTTTTGGAACCAAACTTCGGTGACAGCTATCATAAGCTCTTATATACAGTTTGTTTCGGAACCATTTGGTAACCAAATCCGCTGAAGAATAATTTGGCTGGAGATTAGTGGTGGCCAAGCATGTAGTGGTGATGGTATTTTCTGGTGGTGATGAGTAATGAGTGATGCGTAACCACTGTCTGATGATAGACGTAATCACGCCCTAATGCCAGCGGCCCATCTCTGTTTGTGTGCCTTCTATATGGTCAAACACAGTACTACACTCATTTTTTTCGGAACTTAATGTGGTCTGGACCCTACTGACCGCAGTGGTGGTCATGCACATGATCTGATCGAACAGCTGAGTAAAAATAATCTCGTCAAGTGGAACATTCAAGATTTAAAACACAAATTTCTTTGGGAGGGCTATCCTTGTAGTCTGTGCAGACATGCTTAATCCATACACCTAGATGTACATGTGCATCCTGTTCTGAAGGGTGTAGGGCTTCCGACGTTGAAGTTACATACTGGTGTACCTGGCAGGATGAATTGACTGAAGGACAACCTTGAAGCACAACCTTGAAGGATGAATCGATTCTCATGAATGTGAAGCCAGCAAGTCTAGAGTGCATGTGCTGGGAGGAATGTCCAGTGGGCACCTGATAGCAGTTTAGCTCTCTTGGTAATCGACACACAAATGACTGCTGTTCCACATATGGACTGATGGCACTCTCTCTGGAGCATCCCCAGCACCAACCGTTCTGCCGGCGTCGGAGGCGGCCCCTGTCCCGTCGGTCGGGGATGAGGCGTCCCGAGAAGATGCCGCCGGACGACGGTGACCCGCTGACCTTGTGGTGACCCGCCGACCTCTTGCCTTTGTCGGCAGCGGGGGGTCCCGTCAGCCGGGGGTGAGGCGTCCCAAGAGGACACCGCCGGAGTACATTGACCCGCTGACCTCGTGGTGACCCGCCCGACCTCTTGCCTTTGTCGGCAGCGGGGGTCCCGTCGGCCGGGGGTGGGGCGTCCCAAGAGGATGCCGCCGGAGTACGACGACCCGCTGACCTCGTGGTGACCCGCCGACCTCTTGCCTCTGTCGCCAGCGGGGGTCCCGTCGGCCGGGGGTGGGGCGTCCCAAGAGGACGCCGCCCGAGTACGGTGACCCTCCCCCGGCGCCCCTCTCCGCCTACAACCTGTTCGCCAAGGAGCAGTACCCCCGGCTCAAGGCCCGATGGCGGGGACTCAACGTGCGGAGGGTACGTGCTCGGGGTGGGGTACGTGCTTTGGTGGCAAATGTTGGGTACGTAATGTTGTTCAGCGTGAAGGGTACGTGCTCGGGGTGATGGGTACGTGCTCAGGTTGAAGGGCACGTGCGCGGGGTGAAGGGTATGTGCTCGGGTGTGAAGGGTGCGCCCTCCAGAAGGGTACGTCCTTGGGATGGAAGTACGTGCTCTGGGTGTAGGAGGCGCTGTTGGGGTACCGGATGTGGGCGGGTCTGAACACTGACCTGACCTGACCTGACCTGACCTGTCTTCGTCAGGCCGGTCCGAAGCTGTCCAGCCTGTGGGCGGGTCTGAGCCCGGCTGAGCGTGGCGTGTACCAGGAGCGCGCCTACCAGCAGAAGGAGCAGTACCGGCAGCAGCTCACCGACTACCGGCGGCGGGCGAGGTTGTGGCGCCGACGCCAGGCACAAGGTCAGTCAGGTCAGCAGAGACGCCGCGCGGCTGTGGCGCCGACGCCAGGCACAAGGTCAGGGTCGGGTCAGCAGAGACGCCGCGCGGCTGTGGCACCGACGCCAGGCACAAGGTCAGAGCCGGGTCAGTAGAGACGCCGCGCGGCTGTGGCGCCGACGCCAGGCACAAGGTCAGAGCCGGGTCAGCAGAGACGCCGCGCGGCTGTGGCGCCGACGCCAGGCACAAGGTCAGAGCCGGGTCAGCAGAGACGGCGGTGGGCGCGGCTGTGGCGCCGACGCCAGGCACAAGGTCAGAGCCGGGTCAGCCGAGACGCCGCGCGGCTATGGCGTCGACGCCATGCACAAGGTCAGAGCCGGGTCAGCAGAGACGCCGCGCGGCTGTGGCGCCGACGCCGGGCACAAGGTCAGAGCCGGGTCAGCAGAGGACGCCGCGTGGCTGTGGCGCCGACGCCAGGCACAAGGTCAGAGTCGGGTCAGCAGAGGCGGCGGCGGGCGCGGCTGTGGCGCCGACACCAGGCACAAGGTCAGAGTCGGGTCAGCAGAGGCGGCGACGGGCGCGGCTGTGGCGCCGTCGCCAGGCACAAGGTCAGAGTCGGGTCGGCCGAGACGGCGGCGGGCCGCGGCCGGTCAGCCAGTGCAGGCAGGCGGCGGAGGGGCGGTGCATGCAGTAAGTGGAAAGGGGCGATGCGTGCCCAGTGTGTGATATTGGTTTGTACTGGGCCAACGCGCGCCAATGTGATGTGGAGTATAAATACGTTTGCATAGTATGTGAATGGGTGGTGTGGTAAGCTAGATTGAATTTCGACCCCCTGGGATCACACTCGGCTCGTGATGTTATCTTCGGCATTCTGAGATGTGCCAGCTGGATGGGCACATCTCACACATTGTACACCTTTGAGCCAGAGGGCTGATTATGTCGTAAGGCGGTTTGCATCGGCCGATTCTGTCGCAAGTCGAATTCCATTGACCGATTCGGTCGTAAGACGGCTTTCATCGGTCGATTCGGTCGTAAGTCGGCTTTCATTGGCCGATTCAGCAATGAGTTGGCTTGAACAGCGTCGGGATGCCGCGATTGACCTTGCCCTGACCCGGCAGCCGAGGAGGACGGCGACTCGACCGACCAGCCTGAGGTCCACTCCGACGACGACCGCAACGACCTCTACTGCCGACTCTGCGACGCCTACTTCAGCAGCTCCCACAACAAGGAGCAGCACCTGCACAGTCGGCAGCACGTGCGCGTGAGTGACTGCCCCCCCGGATCGGAGCGGAGGCGGCGCTCCGGCCCGCAGCCCGCGCGCTGTGCAGTGTAACAACGGCCCGATGGGTCCTGTACGACACGCAGACAGCTTTCTAATTAGAGGCGCGTCCGGTCTTGAAATCGGAGATAACATTGCGTGGAATAGACTGGGACTGCGACTTGCGTCTGTTGGGGGCGGTAGTTGTCACGTTCGGCCATTTCCCTGCGTGGTTTGCCCTGATGCTTGTGTCTGTTGGCCGACGCGACCGTGTCTGTCATCTGTATACTGACCTGACCCAGCCTGCTCACCTGACCTGGACCCAGCCTGCTCACCTGGCCTGGACCATTGGCCTGATCTGCCTGACGGCCAACCCTCCTGATAGCCAGACCCCACGTCTGCTGGCCTGCCCCCGCGTGCTGACCTGCCCCGCGTGCTGACCTGCCCCCGCGTGCTGACCTGCCCCGCGTGCTGACCTGTCCCCCGCGTGCTGACGTGCCCCCGGCGTGCTGACCTGCCTCGCGTGCTGACCTGCCCCGGCGCCGGCCTGTGTCTGCCGCAGGCCATCTCGCTGCAGGCGGCCGAGTGGCCGGCAGCGTCGGCCGACAGCGAGGATGAGCGGCCAGACTCGCCGCTCGAGCCGCCGGCGGACGTGTCCGGCGCGCTCGAGAACGTGCTGCACCAAACCGTCCGTGAGTTGGCCCGGCCGGTGAAAACACGGCGCTGCCCAAGCACTCCTCAGTCTCTGGTGCCCGATGAATTGTTAACGTGCTTGATTGACACCTGCCATGTTATCAAAATTGCGTCGATGCTGCTCGGAAAAAGTGGGACATCTTTAGCTGATCCAGTTACGTTTGTATGAATATCGTTGCACGAAATAACCGCGGTGAATAAATTCACCAAAACGCAGTTGTCGTGTGTACTTTTGGGCATTATCAATGATGTTATGCACAGTCAAAGGCCAGAAGCATGCAAACTACGGCTTGCAACATTCGGTCTCTGCAAACTGACGTTAAGGCTTGGCGCTGTGTCGTTGGTTATGGTGGTGTCCATGTGGTCCCCCCCACCCTGGTGTCCATGTGGTCCTCCCCTCCATGGTATGCTGTGTCGGTTGTAATGATGTCCATGTGGTCCTCCCCACCATGGTGTCCATGTGGTCCTCCTATCCATGGTATGCTGTGTCAGTTGTAGTGGTATCCGTGTGGTCCTCCTCACCATGGTATGCTGTGTCGGTTGTAATGGTGTCCGTGTGGTGTGTCATGTGGTCGTCCCCACCATGGTATGCTGTGTCGGTTGTAATGGTGTCCATGTGGCACTCCCCACCATGACATGCTGTGTCGTTTGTAATGGTGTCCATGTGGTACTCCCCACCATGGTATGCTGTGTCGGTTGTAATGGTGTCCATGTGGTCCTCCCCACCCTGGTATGCTGTGTCGGTTGTAATGGTGTCCATGTGGTCCTCCCCACCATGGTATGCTGTGTCGGTTGTAATGGTGTCCATGTGGTCCTCCCCACCATGGTACGCTGCGCAGGTTGTAATGGTGTCCGTGTGGTCCTCCCCACCCTGGTATGCTGTGTCAGTTATCATGGTGTCCGTGTGGTCCTCCCCACCCTGGTATGCTCTGTCGGTTGTAATGGTGTCCGTGTGGTCCTCCCCACCCTGTTATGCTGTGTCGGTTATCATGGTGTCCGTGTGGTCCTCCCCACCCTGGTATGCTGTGTCGGTTGTAATGGTATCCGTGTGGTCCTACCCACCCTGGTATGCTGTGTCGGTTGTAATGGTGTCCATGTGGTCCTCCCCACCATGGTACGCTGTGCAGGTTGTAATGGTGTCCGTGTGGTCCTCCCCACCCTGGTATGCTGTGTCGGTTATCATGGTGTCCGTGTGGTCGTCCCCACCATGGTATGCTGTGTCGGTTTTAATGGTGTCCGTGTGGTCCTCCCCACCCTGGTATGCTGTGTCGGTTGTAATGGTGTCCGTGTGGTGTGTCATGTGGTCGTCCCCACCATGGTATGCTGTGTCGGTTGTAATGGTGTCCATGTGGCACTCCCCACCATGACATGCTGTGTCGTTTGTAATGGTGTCCATGTGGTACTCCCCACTATGGCATGCTGTGTCGGTTGTAATTGTGTTCGTGTGGTCCTTCCCACCATGGTACGCTGTGTCGGTTGTAATGGTGTCCGTGTGGTCCTCCCCACCCTGGTATGCTGTGTCGGTTGTAATGGTGTCCGTGTGGTCCTCCCCACCCTGGTATGCTGTGTCGGTTGTAATGGTGTCCGTGTGGTCCTCCCCACCCTGGTATGCTGTGTCGGTTGTAATGGTGTCCGTGTGGTCCTCCCCACCCTGGTACGCTGTGTCGGTTGTAATGGTGTTCGTGTGGTCCTCCCCACCCTGGTATGCTCTGTCGGTTGTAATGGTGTCCGTGTGGTCCTCCCCACCCTGGCATGCTGTGTCGGTTGTAATGGTGTCCGTGTGGTCCTCCCCACCCTGGCACGCTGTGTCGGTTGTAATGGTGTTCGTGTGGTCCTCCCCACCCTGGTATGCTGTGTCGGTTGTAATGGTGTTCGTGTGGTCCTCCCCACCCTGGTATGCTGTGTCGGTTGTAATGGTGTCCGTGTGGTCCTCCCCACCCTGGCATGCTGTGTCGGTTGTAATGGTGTCCGTGTGGTCCTCCCCACCCTGGCATGCTGTGTCGGTTGTAATGGTGTCCGTGTGGTCCTCCCCACCCTGGTATGCTGTGTCGGTTGTAATGGTGTCCGTGTGGTCCTCCCCACCCTGGCACGCTGTGTCGGTTGTAATGGTGTCCGTGTGGTCCTACCCACCATGGTATGCTGTGTCGGTTGTAATGGTGTCCGTGTGGCCCTTAGCGCCACGCTCTATAGATTCAGTGAGTGCAGTTCTAGCCGTCCCGCACAGTCATATGCTGCTGGCTTCTTGGGGGAGGAGCGGTGTACATGATGGCCGACAGCGACCATGTGACTCTGAGCTCTGCCGCAGGGCGACAGGAGGACTTGGTGTCGTGTCTAGCATGCTCACCCTGTGGCCTGGGTCAGGGTGACAGTAGGACGTGGTGTCTTATCTGACATGCTCACCCTGTGGCCTGCGTCAGGGTGACAGCAGGACGTGATGTCTTATCTGACATGCTCACCCTGTGATTTGCGTCAGGTCGACAGTAGGACGTGGTGTCGTATCCTACATGCTCACCCTGTGGTCTGCGTCAGGGTGACAGTAGGGCTGTGGTATCTTGAGTGCATGGTCAGATGGTGGATGTATGGTGTTTGACACAGTGACCCCAACCTGCACGCCAGGTCGCGAGCAGGAGATCCGCTGCCTGACGGAGGCCCGCGCACAGCTGGGCGAGCAGCAGCGCCAGCTCCGGCAGCTGGCTGACGAGCTGGAGGTGAGTGGCATGCCCCCGCCGGCTGGGCGAGCAGCAGCGTCAGCTCCGGCAGCTGGCTGACGAGCTGGAGGTGAGTGGCGTGCCCCCGCCGGCTGGGCGAGCAGCAGCGCCAGCTCCGGCAGCTGGCTGACGAGCTGGAGGTGAGTGGTGTGCCCCTGCCGGCCCTGTCGACGACCCACACAGCCGGCCACAACCCTGGCCGGCCCTGCACGAGTCAGCAGAATGGCCAGGCGCGGGGCGTTGGAAAGACCAAGAGCATCACAGCGTCGTCGGAAATCTTGGCCGTCGATTTGGTGGCCTGCATTTGGAGTTAGTTCCTGTCGTGCGTATTGTGGGGATTGGGCGCTGATTGTTCCGCTAGCCGTCAGCTGTTGTCGCTACATTGTCGCTTGGGTGTCTGTGTTTTGGGTCCGATGCGCGTGACTTTGTGCTGCAGGTGCGCCACGACAGGGCGGCCATGGACCTGGAGTCGGAGACGTCACACAGTCGGCAGCTGACCGACCAGCTCGAGAACCTGCTGCTGGTGCCCACCCTGTTCGGCGTTATGAGCCAGTGGAGCTGCGACGCCCAGCCCGGCGGGGTCAGCTGACGCGAGGCCAGCGCCATCTCGGAACGGCCCGCCACACTCGCAGTTTGACGCCGTGCCGCCGTGCGGGTCTGCCGTGGTCCAGCGTGCAGTTGGCTCAGTGTCTGCGAAGGGCTGATGCACGGAAGTGGAGTGATGTGTATCGATCTCAGACGGCATTTTTGCTGTTTCGGTCTGCTTAGCAATGCATTACAAATGCTCACTTCGTTTTAATCGCCCTTGCTGGTGGCCGTTGTATTTATGCGGTGATAACGGGAGCGAGTAGCGTTTGTTCCCATGGATGATGTGCGGTATTTAAATGGTGATGTTTTGTTTTTGGCTTTTTGGTTTCTGTTCGCTGCTCAAGATTGTGCGTCCGATTACCGGGCGCTGGGCCCACGCTTATCTCGACATTAATTTCAGTCCTTTCATTTTCTTACATTTGTATTTCATCAGTTACGGAGTGAGCGCCCTGGTGGCAATGGGTGAGGCTCTGAACCAACCTGGAGACGCCCACCTGAAACTCGGGATCAGTATCAAGTGTCACAACCCAGACCGCGTACACAATGCGTGGGCTCCATTTGGTGTAATACAGCGTCGCATGAAATGCAGCTGGCGGGCAGACCACGCTGAGTTACCCAGCGTCACGCGAGATGGAGCCAGAGCGGCCGCGGCGCCGCATTCGCTGCCAGGTGCTGCGGCCGCCGACGCCCGACTAGTCGTAACAAGTCATGGGACCAGGGGACGCTGACAGGCCGGAGGTCCCTCGGATCTCGCGCGCGTCCGTTCAGCCCGACGTGGAGGCCGGGCGCACCAGACCCGCCCCCATCGAGTGATGCCGCCCGCTTGGCTGCCGCGCCGGAGCCGGGCCGGCCAGTGTTGAGGTTGCGACCTGCGTTCTGCTCCGCCATAGGTCGCAACCTCACTGCTCCGGGTCTGACAGACGGGCAGACGTCCGTGGCGACTGACAGTCCCGACAACATCCGTCACTGGCTTAATTTATTGCTGGATACAAAATGTCACACGGAACGTGGCTCTCAATCTCACTGCATGGCTATGTAAAATCATACGTTTCCACACAAGCATACTGCGACCGTTGTTATAGCAGTAGTAGCAACTGGGGCTTTCGGATGCCTCTACAACGCGGTCATATAGCACCCACGTGGCCGCCGTTATCACGATTCCCGGCAATATCATCGGGGATGACGGTACGGTTAGTTACAGTGCTATCACACAGCCACAGCGGGTGACCGACAGCACGACTGGCCAGTATGACATTCCCCGAGAGCCGGTGGCCAACGCGCCGCCTCGGTGGGAATCAGCGTAAGCGCCCGACATGCTCTGCCGTTTGCTCACCGCTGGTCACAACGGCTCATAACGGGGACGGTAAGACGAGCATTACATGACAAGCATTGGCTACATTTGCACCCACAAACTCGTGGCGAATGGCGGTTCGAAACGAATTTGATTCCCACCATGTCGACGGATGCTGTGACGCCCGATGCCCAAAAGTACAGAAGCTTATGCGTACGCAGCTTTACTTTCTGTGCATGAGGCACGCCGTTTCACACAAGTTAGTGTTTCGATTTTGATTGCTTCGATAAGGCACGCATGTATTTGGGTCCCTAGGAGGTCCTACACGGTAAACAGCAGTAGGCTATATCGCGGTCTTTGCCGGTTCCGTTCCGTCCGAGCCGGTCCGAGCCGAGCCAAGCCGGTGGCGAGCGACGGCTGGCAGCGCTGAGGACCGCTCCCGGTGTCGGCGCCTCAGGGCATGTCCGGCTCGACCTGCTCCCAGACGTGCTCCACACAGTGCTGCAGGGCCTGAGGCGGACAGCGGGGGCCGGTCACAGTCGGCACGGCTAGGCCCGCCAGCCGACAACACACGCACACACTCTCACTATTGACACTCCACTCATAGCACCGCCAACGTCGGGACGGTACAGTTGAGCCGCTTTCGGTGTAGAGCTCTCCAACACTCTCTACTCTAACGATTCGCTCCTTCGCGGCGGCATTTGCTCCTAACAATGCTCGGTCAGTACATGGACGATGCCGTCCGTAGCGGGCGCCAGGCGGGCCCGCCCACAAGTCAGCACTCGGGGTCGGCGCAGTGGCCACTCACGTTACAGGCCCTGGCGTGGAACTCATCCTGGCAGAAGTAGTCGGGGCCCCACTGGCAGCGCTCGCCCCCCATCAGGTGCACCGTGCCAGGCGGCCGGGGGCACAGGTCGATACCTGCCGACGGCAAAGGTCAATAACTGGCGACAGCATAGGTCAATGATGCCGACAGCAAAGGTCAAAACCTGCCGACAACACAGATCAATAATGCTGACAGCACAGGTCAATACCTGCCGACGGCACGGGTCAATAATGCTAATATCACGGGTCAATAATGCTGACAGCACAGGTCAATAATGCCGACAGTATAGGTCGATACCTGCCGACCGCATAGGTCAATAATGCTGACAGCACAGGTCAATACCTGCCGACAGCACAGGTCAATACCTGCCGACAGCACAGGTCAATAATGCTGACAGCACAGGTCAATACCTGCTGACAGCACAGGTCAACAATACTGACAGCACAGGTCAATAACTGCTGACGGCACGGGTCAATACCTGAAGAGGAGGGGCTGGTCGACACAGCTCTCGTCCACACAGGATGGAGGCCACTGCACGGGACATACGAAGACGCAGGAGATGGAATAGGTGAACGCCAATACAAACGGGGAGCAGCAGCCCCGATGTGCAGGGGCGGATACAGTCACTCTAAACGAAAATTAGAGTGACACCCCACATGATCCCACCGGATAATGACGCATGGATTCTAGTATTACAACAGAGTAGTGCTACTATAACACCGCAGATGGTTCCACACTAGTGCTACGACATAGTACTTTTACCGAACGGAGTGTTACGACTTTGTTTCTGCTGTCACTTCCTACCCACATGAGTTCTACGGGACAGAACTTATGCTGCAAAAATTATACCCGTCATTATTTCTTGTGCAAAACTCATACAGCCGCTACATATGCACAAATTGCCTCTGCTGCAAAGACTTAAACGCGACATTAGTGATACGCGACAAACGTTATGTTTCAAAAAAGTTGTACCCGTCATTCCTTCTACTGCAAAGCATAGAGTCATTACTCATCCACGATATTACTTCTACTGCAAAAACACATACGCGATATAAATGTTGCCCAATAAAGCCATGTTCCAAAAACTTACGCCCGTCTTTACCTCTCTTGCAAAAACCCATAGTTACTGTTTTTACGACGTTGCTTCTGGTCTAAAGACTTCTACGCGGCGTTAGTGCCACACGGCAAAACCTGTACTTCAGAAATGTATAAATGTCACAACTTCTACTGCAAAAACTTAAGCTGCCAGCGTCGCTTCAGCGGTGGCCTCCCCCATGCGGCAGCTGTGGACTCTTCCGGCTGACTGGCCGCTGTCGCCCGAGCTCACCGATGCAGACATCCCGGGGGGAGACCAACTGACTCAGCTGGCTGAACACCCACGGCCCGTACCACTCCACCAGCTGCTCACACTGCGAAATAGGAGGTCAGGTCAGACGGGTGACTCGGGTCAGCTCGGGTCAGCACGGGAAGCCCCAGATCTGAACAGAGTTAGCTTGGTCCATACAGTTCAACAGCAAATAGCATGATGTCGATACCACAACCGCATGTTTTGATTGCACCTTTGAAACTCGCAATCATGCATGCATTGGGAAATCAAGGAGCCCGACCAAAAGTGTAGCACAAAAACATGTGTGCACGTCGCATAATCAAGACCTTTTCTACTCCATTCAACGGTAGCTCACGACATTCTGTTTGATTTGATGTTACTGTGTTGACCGCATCCCTACGGAGAACCGTCAGTCTGCCCCGCTCCGACCTGACCGCTCAAAGCGGCGCCTTGCAGCTGTAGCCCCGCCCCGATCCGGCCCGCTGACCGGGGCGCCGTCAGCTGGCTGCGAGGCTGTCTCTGGCCATCGCACCGCAGCCCGGGTCCTTAAGGGGTCGCTGCTTCATGCCCGGACCGGGCCCTCCACCCGACCGTGGCTTCTGGTCTGATCTTCCCTCCGACCACGCCTTCTTCTTGTCCGGTCCTCGGCCAGTCAGGGTCCTCCTCTTGTCCAGTCCTCGGCCAGTCCGGGTCCACCTCTTGCCCGGTCCCCGGCCAGTCCGGGTCCTCCTCTTGTCCAGTCCTCGGCCAGTCCTACACGTCCTCTTGTCCGGTCCTCGGACCATCCGGGTCGTCTTCTTGTCTGATCCTTGGCCGATCCGGATGGTCCTCTTGTCCGGCCCTTGGCTAGCCCGGGACGTCCTCCTGTCCGATCCTTGGCCGGTTCGGACAGTCCTTTTGTCCGGTCCTCGGCCGGTCCGAGACGTCTTCCTGTCCGAGCCCTGGTCGGTCCGGATAGTCTTCTTGTCCGGTCCTCGGCTAGTCCGGGACGTCCTCTTGTCCGGTCCTCGGTTGGTCCGGATTGTCTTCTTGTTTGGTCCATGGCCAGTAAGGGACGTCTTCTTGTCCGGTCCTCAGTCGGTCCGGGTCCTCCTCTTGTCCGATCCTTGGCCGGTTAAGCCGATCCGGGTCGTCTTCTTGTCCGGTCCTCCACCGGCCTGGGACGTCCTCTTGTCCGGTCCTCAACCAGTCCGCGACGTCCTTTTTTTCCGATCATCGGCCAGTCCGAACGTCGTCTTATCCGATTCTCGATCGGTCTGGGTCCTCCGCCCACCCAGCTCCCTCATTGTCGGTCTGTACCTCGGCGCGAAGCTTCACCACACACCGCTGCGTCCAACAACTCTCCCTAAGCCTGCTCTGATCCCTGCCTTCCACCAGTCCTCAATCTTCTCCGGTGAGGCGAGGCGCCTCCACCGCACCGCAAGCTCCTCCCAATGATGGCCGACACAGCACCGACCTCACCCCGGGGTCCCCGAGGTTCCCCTGTAGAAGCGGCGCTGTTCGCCCGATCAGCGAGCCCCTCGCCAGAGCATACCGGCGCCCCCCCCCCCCCCCCACCCATACGCTGACCTGCGTCCGCGGGTCGCGTGGCGCACTACCTCGCGCCCGAGCATGTCACCATAGGTACTGCGCACTTGACAAGTCGTCAGGTCTGTATTGAACGGATGAGACGCGGTTGGTGTTGGGAGGTCGGACCGAACGCGCCCGCGCCACTCGCTGGGTTCGTCTGAACGCAGCCGGGCGCGGCACGCACCTGCTCGCGGCGCCGGCCCGGCAGGCGGACGCAGAATCGGCTCAAGTGGTGGGACAGGTCCCGGGCCCCGTCGTCCTCAGCGTACACCTGCAGGTCCGTCAGCAGGGCCACGCACGGCTCGCACGGCAGACCGTCGTCAGCAGCTGGGGTCAGGTCAGCCGAACAAGGGCGCAGTCAGGCGGCCGCACAGGGGTCACTCGGCGAGGGTCAGCTGGTCAGGGGCGGTCAGACGGCCGCACGAGAAGGTCACTCAGCAAGGGGTCAGCCGGTCAGGGGCGGTTTCAGGTGACGGGCAGAGGGGAACACTGGTCAGAAAGGGGGAAAACGCATGCAGGAATGCCAGGGACGGAGTTGGATTGAACAATAACGAGAAAGGGTGCACAAAGGCCATCTACGGGCGCGCCAATAGCTAAGACTGGACTTGCCGTACCCCTCCCTCCTAGTATATCCAACTACGTGACCTCTAAACCTGCTCATTCAACATGAATTATGCACAACGCAACGCATAGCACAAAATTTCATGCACATTCATGCACAGCAATCTGACATTGCTTCAAGTCACATTTTTAGTTGTGTTCTAAGACCCGTTTTCACGAAAGCCCCGACGAGGTGTCGGTACTCGAGATATACATGTGTGTGCTGTCATCACAGCCACTAGCAAACACACACTGATGAAGCGTACAAAAGCGTTTTCCCGTACGCTGCAGCATAAACTGGCCCACAGAAGCGCGCGTGCACTACCTAAAATCACGGATAGCCAGCCAGCAACATGCAGTGTCCGGACCAGTAAAGCAGGCGCGCAAGGGCGGCGGGAATGTCGCAGTGTCTCGTCACTTGCGGATCACCCCGCCATCGCTTCCCTCCGAAAGGGTACGCAGAGGACACGGTCGCGTGTTAGACATCTTTCTGGTAAGCTCATTGGTTGGTTCTTCAGATCAGGTCAGGTCAGGTCGCATCAGGGTCGAGGCGTGGCTGCATTTCGCCGCATCACACTGGCAATGGTTACGTCTCTTGCCGATCACCGCCCAGATCTTTTGTCCTTAAGGCCGCGCCCTCAAGCCGTGTCCAAAAAAGGCCTGAGCACACGCTAGAGGCGTGGCGCGCGCTCTGACCCCAACCAGCCGCTGGGTGTCCGCCGGCCTCCGTGGTGTCCCTGCTCCGGGTCACATCCACTCCCCACGCTCTCTGTCTTCGCTGCACTTGCCGCCGCGCCGCCGGCCGACGCACGACCTCGTCCTTGGCGGATCTCGCCGCCATCAACTACGAACGCCTCACGAAAGTACCCGTGCAGCGGACGCCGCGAACCAATCAATAGGGGTGGGCGTGGCCAACACGCGTTGAGTATCAGGTCGCTGTTCAGCTGGTCTTCCGGACCACTCAGAGACCGGCTGCAGCCGTCGCTGGGAGCCAGCCAGGTCCAGGCGGCGAAGCCCACATCAGACCAACGGTCGGAATCGTATCACAGGAAGAGACCGCACTGAGTAGTGTTGCAACGGGGTGCACGCCGTGCAACGTGACGTGGCGTACTTTTAAGTGCCCCTCACATCCCACACCCCGTAATAACGCTTCAGGTGGAACCCAACACAGGGCACAAGTCCACGACCCTGGGACCCCACGTTGGGCGCCATCTATAGCGTTGCAACGGAACACACACCATGCAACATGACTTGGCGTATTTCGTAGTGTTCCTTACAGTGCGCACCCTGTTACAACGCAACAACTATTCATGGACCCTTAGAACCCGTGTTTTTCGTCGTTTTTCCGCTTGCTACAGATTCGCTGCCATCAGAGGTAGTGATGCTTTCTTCCACAACAGATTCCAACAGAAAGCCATTCCAATCCGAACAGCTGTGTCGGTCAGATAGCTGGTCGGCTAAGCCATCACAACGACTGCTCGACTGGGCCGTCCTAGATCCCGGAGCGTCACTGTCTGACTAGAGCCTGGGACCGCCACTAAGTCCTGCCCTCGCCGGCGGGCCTCCACCGCCGCCGGCAGCACACACCTTGGCGCGGCGCTCGACCGGCAGAAGACGGCACAGCTGCTCTGACGTCACTGGCTGGTCGGCGTCGGTCAGGAGCAGCTCGGCGTAGCCGGCGATCTGCTGACACTCGCCGCATCTGCTGGTGTCGGAGAGCGTCCGACGCCCGACCGGCGCTGCTCGGGCGCGGGCGAGCCGAGTCAGCCGCGTGAATTGCGGGATTACCGGGTCAGACGCCAGGCATCAGATGTCAGACAGGTCAGACGCGGACATCGGGTCAGCCACCGGGTTAGACGTAAGGCCGCCGAGTCCGACTCGTCACACAGGTCACACGCGAGGGTAAGGCGGGTTAAACGGGTCAGATGGCAGGGCCAAACAGGTTATATGCCAGAGTCCGACGGATAAGACGCCAGCGTTAGACAAGTCAGGCGAAAGGGTCACACAGGTCAAATGCCAGGGTCAGGTAGGTCAGACAACAGGGTCAGACAGGCCAGATGAGAGAGTTAGATAGGTCAGACGCCAGGGCCAGACAGGGCAGATGCCAGGGTCAGGCACGTCAGACAGGTCAGATGACGGGGGGTAGACAAGTCAGACACCAGGGTGAGATAGGTCAGATGCTAGGTCCAGACAGGCCGCACGCCAGGGTCAGACAGGTCCAATGTCAGGGCCAGACGGATCACAAAGATCAGACATGGAAGTCACCTGGCAGCTGATCGGTTGCTGATCGTGTTCACTCCCATCTCAAGTTACGCAAGTTGTTACGTCAGAGTTTCGGCTATAAGCCTTGGTCAATACGATTATCAGCAGTCAACTGCTGCTCATAAATCCCTAGAGCAAATTCCTGCTCTCTGGGTATACCGTAAGTACCCGTTTTGACAAAGGCATGGAGCTGAAACACGAAAGGAAATGTTTCACGTTTGAAGATATTGAAGCAGGCATCAGATACGATGAAACAAGCTCACTTATAATGATTTGGTACACCTTTTTAAGTGGAAAGGACTGCTCTAGACAGCACAATGCTCTATTTAGTACATATACTCCTCAACGCGTCATTGTTCCGTTACGTCATCGCATGTTGCACAACAATGATTAAAAGCCAATTGACGGCCGTTAAGTCTGGAAGTCGCGCTCACCAGCGCCAGATATGAACGACTCGGCAATCATATTTTTTGGTCTTGATCACCACATGGCTAATGGAGTGACAGCATTAAAATGGCATTATCATGGCCTCATGAATGCCAAGATGACGTTGAAGAAATACTTTCCCCGATATACCTTCCCTATTTTGGCAGGATTCTAGCTAAAATATTAGAGGGCTTAGGTCTCAAGAATCGCAGGAATGTGCACAGCACTGAAAGGTCGTCAAGATGGCTATCCAGTTCAAAACCACATATCAATGTGGCACACTCCCTTCAATGCATCTATCTCTTCTGTCTCCTGGTTATTCGACAAAAACAAGCGAACAGACCCATGTTATCCATCTGATCTTATCATTGGTCCACGTAGACTAAGTAAACAAGCTATCGGGTTGCCAGGGGCGCTAAGATTAAGAAAATGACTCTCCCAATGTTTTCTGATCTCGTACGCTGACAACCATTCTATAGACGCACACACATGCAATTCATTCTGTAGACGCACACACACACATTCTGTAGACGCACACACATGCAAAGACAACCTAACACAAATAAAACACAAAAACACAGGCGGACCGGCCACGCTACGGCGGACAGATTCCTGCATAATAGATGGAAAATTGATGACTAAGTTATAAAAAAACGTCCCTGATTAAAAAACGGTCACGTGCGATACTGCACCGATACGGGTTTATATGGGCGATCAGCAACCTGACTCGCCGCGAGGATCAGGCGGGCAAAACAAAGCAGCAGCGAAGGAAATTGCATAAAATAGCTGCGCATAGTAGGCCATAAAACTGTCCAAGCTGAGCTGTATGTACTGTTCTTCACTCCATTTGCTTGGTATGCCTTTCTTTCTCGTAGCCTCATAACCTTATATTCGGTAGGCTGTGAATAGCCCGGCGCTGCACGCGGATCACCTGGTGTCATGAAGCGAAACTGCGAAACTTCCGCGATACAATTTGCCTTAAAATATACGTGGTGTGGTAGCTTCATCATGTGGTGATTACGCACCAGAGACAAGCCGATTTACTTGACCTCGCGATCTTTAAGTCAATGACGAATAGGATGCTTCGATCGGTCAAAGTTGTCCTATTGGCGTCCTTCGGGCCTTACGACGCACGCAGCTGCTGAGGCTATATGGCGTCGCCTGCATCCCACCCTGGCAGGAACGGTGGACACCGCGGGGAACGCCATTCCCCTGGTTTCCCAGACGAGTAGTGGTTAACGCAGACGCGTTAACCGAGATTCGTACTCTCGTTTTATGAAACCGCGCCACAGTCAGTGGCGGCCGGCGAAGCCGCCCATGTGGAGACCGGGGTTAGGTGGTCGCGCAGCGGTGATCCGCCGGTGCTGGCCGCCAGAGGGCGCGCCTCACTCGCGGCAGCCCAGTCCGCGCACCCAGACGGTGAAGCCATTGTCTGTTTTCCGGGTGTGCAGTGAGACTCATGTGGGTGAGTCTCGTAGGCCGGGGATCATTGCCACAATAAAACTCCACGTTACATTACGTCAGAGGATTCGTGCCTCATCCCGAAGCAAGCGATACGATTTCCGGAACTCACTTATGTTACACACATGCATGGAGAATCGGAAACAAACATATTTTTTACACATGCCTTCGTGACATCTAGGCAGGAGGGATGCGAACGCGCATCAGCTGATGTTTGCAGAATTAGACCGTAAGTCGTTCGTGTATCTCAAACTTACATACACAGGCACATGCCATGGTGCGACACGGCATACAGGCATCCTGCAAAATTTGAAAACCCAATGCAGTCTGCGCGCTAGCTTCCGCACTACGAGACCTACACGCATTTTCACCGTTCCGGACCTACAGTAACAAATTGAGGGTGATGGACAAGCCTACACCTACAGTAACAGACTACTTACAGTAGGCTGGGCGAGGCGGACAGACGTGGGATCAGGGCTATGTGAAAGGCGGCTGGCTGGCGCGGTGCGCGAGCATACCCAGGCCAGTCACCACGCGGCTGTGCCGAACAACGCTCAGCTCTGCTCAGTTCCGTTCTGCCAGTCCTGCCGGCACCGGCTCGTTCGCAGACAAATCCGCCTAACCTTCATCGCGGCAAACATGACCCATGCAGTCTCGCCTCTAGCCGTCATGCCCGACCGGCACCAAACCCTGATGAGGAGCGCTCCACAGCGGTAGCGGCTGCTCTCCCGAGAAAACAGCGGCGCTACGTCGCACAGCGGCGGCCCCTCAGCCTGGTCACAACGCGACACTCCCCCTAGAATACCGAGCTGTGTTGGGAGCCGTCACGGCGCTAACTGAGCTAAGACGGAGTCACACAGAGGGCGCTTCAGTGGAACGAATCAATATCACGAGAAAGTGAACGGAGACGGCTAACTTGACATGGCGTGTTTCCGTGCGGATTCGGCGCGCTTCAATGCAGGCGGGTCACGGCCGTCAGCACTTCCCTCACGTGGTCGGCGAAGAAAACAAGAACAAGAGAGGTTTCTTCTGCCGGTACAAACCCGCAGACCGCGGTTGGCGGACGACCTGGCATGACCCCGACCTTTGACCCGCGGCCTGTGATGCAAGTGACTCGAACCGATAGATGACGCATGGAGCGGTGTCACCGACAGTGACTCGAGTCACATCACCGACAGTGACTCGAATCAGGTCACCGGAAAGTAATTCGAGTCACGTCACAAACATAGTGACTCTAGCAACGCCACCGGAGTGACTCGGCGACATCACCGGCAAAGTGACTTGAGTGACGTCACCGGAGCGCCTCGCCACGTCATCGACATAGTGACTCCAGCGACGTCACTGGCGGTGACTCAAGTGACATCACCCGCAATGACTCGAATCACGTCGCCCGGATTGACTCGATTCAAGTCACACATGGAGTAACTCGATTCGCGTGATCGGCAGTTATTCGAGCCACGCCGCTGGCAGTGACTCGAGTCACGTCATCGACAGAGTGACTCGAGTCACGCCACTGACGAGATTCAACGCTCGCTGCCCCCTCACCACTGAAAATGCCGTGTCGAGGTCATATTCATTCTTCTTGGCGCAACTACACGTTAACTAACAGAGCAGGCGCTGTTCCGGGCGACTTAGTCACCATTTATTGCCAGACGAACCGACGCGGGGACTGTGAACGCCTCAAACGCAAATCGCTCTCACGCCTATCACACTGCTTCGGGACCGACCCACTAATGTTTGATTCTCTGACGCAACAGCTGATGACGTCCCGCGAGCAACTAGAGAGTGGCTGCCGACCACAGTTGAACGCCACCCCAATATCGGTGCAGAGCGCATGCGCGCCAGAAGCAGCTCAAGCTCGACACATGCGGTTGAGAACCCAGCCGTCAGCCTGCACGCGGCGCGGGCGGGCAGCGGCGCCCGCCCCGGACGCCCGCTCCGCGTCAGCAGCGCCTCACTCAAACCAGCGGCTCCCGATAGTGGCCGTGTATTGTTCCAGCGGAGGACAGAGAGTACAGAGGCCGGCGGCGGTACGGCGCCCGGGCGGTGCGGGCGGCGACACAGCAGGGCCGCGGCGGCGGCCGGGGTAGCGCCGCCAGCCGCCTCGCTACACATAGCGGGCGCAATAACTGCACGGCCGGCATCAGCAGAGGCGCTGGGCGCCCCGCCGTCCGCTGTACAAGTGACGCGTCGCGTCGCCCCTCAGGCGAAACCCAGCCCAAACCGCTCAGTCGATACCAGTGTGTCGACCCCAACCTGCTTAGAGATTCCTAGACCTTAGAAAAAGGCTTCCGCTCGAATAGACCGCCGCCCAGCTCTCACAAAGCCTGAGAAAATCACACCAATGGCTACCAATGAGTGCACTGTACTGCGGATTTAGTATCAGAAACATGTTGATATCATACACACTGTACGCAGCCAGCAGACAACCATCAAAAACGCATTAAGGCCCTCTACATCATAACCCTGGCCGATATGTACAGACTCCACCAATCGAATAACTGTAGCCAGTGCGCATCTGACCACCACACCACGAATTTCTCCGGCGCCGAGGATCCCGCTGCGGCCAAGCGCGTGCAGCTGTTTCGCAAGGCGCCTCCGCGTGCAAAGCCGACGCGCCGTTGTCAATCTCCGAGCGCACGCAGAACGCAGACGGGACCGGGCGGTTAAGCACATGACTCGGGCTCGGGCTCGGGCTTGGGCTGGGCTCGGGCTCGGGCTCGGGCTCGGGCTCGGGCTCGGGCTCGGGCTCGGGCTCGGGCTCGGCTCGGGCTCGGGCTCGGGCTCGGGCTCGGGCTCGGGCTCGGGCTCGGGCTCAGGCTCGGGCTCGGGCTCGGGCTCGGGCACGGGCTCGGGCTCGGGCTCGAGCTCGGGCTCGGGCTCGGGCTCGGGCTCGAGCTCGGGCTCGGGCTCGGGCTCGGGCTCGGCTCGGGCTCGGGCTCGGGCTCGGGCACGGGTTCGGGCTCGGGCTCGGGCTCGGGCTCGGGCACGGGTTCGGGCTCAGGGCTCAGGGCTCAGGGCTCAGGGCTCAGGGCTCAGGGCTCAGGGCTCAGGGCTCGGGCTCGGGCACGGGCTCGGGCTCGGGCTCGAGCTCGGGCTCGGGCTCGGGCTCAGGGCTCCGTACCTCGCTGGGCGGTGCACAGCTGGAGCTCGGCGCAGACAGTGTCTGGGTCAGCGACGGCCGCCTTGATGGCGTCCAGCACGGGGGCGCCGTACTCGTCCACGAAGCCCTCGCAGTCCGCCTCGATCGACTTGGGCATGTAGGAGCAGACGTGCTTCAGGGCGTCCTCGATCTCCGCCTGCCACAGCCAGCCGGTCAGCCAGTCAGCCAGTTAGTCAGTCAGCCAGTCAGCCACAGCCAGTCAGCCATTCAGCCAGGGGCTCGGAGGACTGCGCCGGCGGCGGGCAGCAATACGACACTTGAAAGACCGTCTCGGACCAGCAATGCAGAACCCATCATCCATCAATTTTGTAAACATTTGTTTCTTCTTTTCATGCCCAAAAACTATCTAGAAAATTGCTTAACTGCTAGAGACGTTGACTGAAAAACTCGAGCAAAGCAGTTAAAGCACCAGAGAACATCAAACACCCGTACAACAAACACATGAAAGAGTACAGACTAAACAGGCACAGTTAGACAGGTGTCATCGCTAACAGCATGCCATTCAGCCGTGGGACGTGGTCCGGGCATGGTCGGTGACTCAGCAGATGGCGCCACTTGAATTCAGACCCTGCGGACCTCATCAATCATCAGCGGCAAGACTCACGTCAGTGGCGTTGTCATCCAGCTTCAGTTTCAGCTGCATCATGACGAACTCGCAGAGCACGCACACCGGCGACTGCCTGTCGTCGTCCTCGTCCTCGTCCTCGGCGTCGTCGTCGTCCTCCCCCTCCATGTCCTCGTCATCCTCCTCCTCGGCGGACGCCATCTGCGGCACCGGACGCCCGTGAGCGGGACCAGCCCCGCCACGCGCCGGACCCCATCCGCACGCAGCTGCACTCGTCCCACCGCCGACACGGCCCCGGACACAGCGTGAACGCAGCAACACTCGCACAGGTCACGGTCGGCGCATGCGCGTACAAGCACCCGACGGCCGGACGGCTTCCCAAATGTTCATATGCGATGCTACTATCAATGTTACTATATATATATGCGACACATATCACAATTCCTTAGCACATGGCCGCTCCATTACATGGTCCATCACAAGATGAATCCACAGGCGGACAGCAGCTGCTGCGGACGCGCTTCATTACAGGATCTCTGTCGCTGGCACTAGGAGAAACAGAGGGTACAATCCAGTCACTCCCCAGAGCATGCGTCGAGGGATCAGCCGTGATTCTGACGACGAAACTGTCACGTAACGTGACGTTAACCACGGGCGGTGACCACTGACAGACAGCCGGCGGTCGCCGCCGGGTCTCGTCCGTCGGACCGGCAGCGGGCGGGGAGAACTGACCACGCCCGGCTGCCAGACACAGCAGAACAGCGGAGGTGAGGCCGAGGGGAGCTGACCGAGGAGTATCGACCGGGGTGAGATTGAGGAGGAGCTGACAGAGGAGCGTCGACCAAGGTGAGGCCAAGGAGGTGACAGAGGAGCATCGAAATAGGTAAAGCCGAGGAGGAGCTGACTGAGGAGCATGAACAGCGGTGAGGCCGAGGAAAGACGGAGGAGCATCGA